GTTATAATGGGGGGGGGGGGGGGGTTGGTTTTATTTTTTTGGGAAGATAATTTATTATACCGTTTTTTTAATTACTTTTTAAGTTTTTATATTTTTAACTATTATTTTGTTTATACCTTTTACTTTACAAGTTGTTTACTTTTATTAATTGTATGAAAGTAAAGATTATTAAAAGGGGTAGTTACATATTTTTATAATTTCTTTTTCATTTTAGATTCCTAATCAATATTTTAAAATATTACATCTTTCCAAGTTTTTCTTAGTACTTGCCACAGTTCTTATAATATCTTCTATCCTAAATATCTTCTACATTGGTTTTCAAACTTCTTAAACTTTATAGTATCTTCTACTGTTTTAATTGATTTTAAGCTTGCTGCTAAAAAAAAGGGTTTAACTATACTTCAGCTTGAGAGCTTTTATCGCTACTTCAGATTTTATTTTGAAAATATTATCAATCTAAAAGGAATATCAAAAAAAACTGCTGGAGCAAAATCATAGACTTAAAATATGCATAAACCGCATATAATTATCTAGACTGAGATTCTATTCATTAAATTTGAAGCGTCATCAATACAAATCAATTGGTGACATGCCATTTTACATCCTAAGGAATGAAATAATACAGTTATTACATTTTCGTTATAAATATTATACATTTAAAATCACATTCATTGCACATTCATAAATAAAAAATTCCATATATAAAATCTAAAATTTTTACATACCCGAGAATAAGACTTTTTATATAGATATAGAAGCAAGAATATTGGAAAAATAGATTCACAAAATAAAATTTAAATAAATGCATTAAAAGATTTATATATAATTAAAGGCTAATAAATATGGCATTAACTTTAAACTTTAGCGTAGATAAACTTAAATATATTTTAGGGAACAATTCTTTTTAAGTTTATACCGATATCTCCAATTTATCATGTTCCATAATTCCTCTATTTGTAAATTTTAATTAAAAGTGGCAACTTATAGGTTATATTTCATCTTTGGATAACGGTAATTTACATTTTTAAATGCCCAACCCTCGTTGTGTGCATATTATAGTGTCGAAAAATTTTATATAAACATATTGAAGCATTGATAACAGTTATTATTATCTTTTTCATTTATTAGACTCTTAATAACCTTTATTTGATATTCATAAACCCCCCCCCCACCCCAGACCATTTTCAATGGTTTAATGATTACTATTTATTGGTGCCAAAATATTTTAATTTGTTAATTTAATACCAATAATATTTTGACATGATAGAAATGACCCACATATTTAGGGTGATTATTATCATTACAATCGAGACAATTTAATTACCTTTTATTTAATACTCATATCACGTTTTGATTTTTTCTAACCCCCCCCCCCCCCCCTAATTCTCTCGGTGTAAAAATTCATTCTATTAAGATCAAGAATGAATACTTTAAATCAAAAAATATTTAAATAAACTTTAATTTGATACCCATATTAATATTCTGTGTTGTCTAAATATTCCCGACCCCTTAAGACCTTGACCTGCCTACATAGAATAAATTATAATTACAATGAATTTAATCACATTTTACCCCCCCCCCTTCGCATTCATGTCCAATTCATTAAGACCAAATGTAAATATTATTATTTGATTCAAAAATAATTTTTTATTCGATAACTACATTAAATTTTTTTGTGTTGATTAAAATATTCCTGACCCACCAAAAAGTAGTTCCGTCCGCGTAAAGTGATAATTATCATTACAATCAAAAGATATTTTAAACTCTTATTTAATACCTCTACTAAATTTTTATTTTTATTTTTACACCCACCCTCTCCTTATACCAAATTTAACCAATTAAGACCAAGGGTCAGGGTCTACATGAGCGGGATTGGTAAGAACAGTTTGCATCCAAAAATTTTTGAGGGGAGTTTGGGGTGGGATTTAAAGTTGGTAGATTAGGGGTAGAATAAATTTAATGGGGGATATCATCTATCAAAACTTTAGATGAAATAGGGCAAAATATATTGCTGCAAGTATAAATATTTTTATTATAGACCGATTATAATACAACGATATTGCTGAACATCAACCAAATCTATATGTGGTACACATTCAAAGACATTTTTTTCCAAATAGAACTATTTCTGAATAATTTTTATTATCTTTTTTAATTAAAAAAGGGTTGGACATCCTATAAGCAAACTCATATTTATGCCAAACAATATACTATATTAATGAATTTATTGTAACTAAGGAAGTTTTAATTAAATTCATGTTGAAAAATAACACATTTACATTCACAATATTTTTATAGTTGTTAGTAGGGGGGGTTAATAATTTAAGATATTCTCTTTAAAATTTATAAAAGAGAACCAAGTCTACCTGACAGAAAAAAAATCACTGGATGCAAACTTCCCTCAAAAACCTATATATTCCCCCTAAAAATATTTGCCCATTTTCACATTATTAATTAAACCTTCATAATAATAATTGCACTCCCTCCATAACTTAAAAAGGAACTTCAATGATTATTGTTATAATTCTAACTATCAAAAGGGAATATAAGTTATTTTTTATTAGATGAATGCAAGTAAAAACCTCCTAATTATAAAATTAGCATTTTATAATATATTGTTCGATACGAATATGAGTTTAGTGATAGAATTTTTTACCCTATTAAATGTGGTCCATAAATAGTTTTATTAGGAAAATAATGTCTGTGATTGTTGTGAAATATATAGATTTGGTTGATGTTTAGCGTTATCGTTTGTATTATAATAGATCTATAATAAAAGTATTAATTTTTACAGCAATATATCCTAGTCTATCACACTTAAATTCGACCCCCTACCTCTCTTAAAAAAAATTTGGTTGTAAACTGTTCCTACCCCATCTGCTCATGTAAAGTTAAAAGGGAATACTATTATAATAAAAAAGTTGTGGAGTTTTTTTGGAGGGGGGGGGGGGGGTAGGCAGGGACATTACTAGCCATTACAATTCCATGGAGCATAATTAAAAATATTTATGGGGTCTAAACCTCCCATACCTTTCGGCCTCTGGACCGCTTTTTTCAGGTTTCGGTCTAGTTTCCTTTTATCATATTTTATTTTTAAATATTTGCATACTCCGAACTAGTATTCGTAATTTCATATTTTATCATATATTATGCATACATACTAACATTAGCATATAGATAATAAGTAAAACAATATAAGACATTTGGTAAGCTAAAAGATAATATTTTTTAATACAAAATATTTATCTATTTATTAAATTACTAATTATTTGCGATTATAGAATATATTATAATTTATAATATCAAAGAGCATTAATATTAGTAATTTCGATTATAAAATATTTGCCAGTAGGGAAAATTATAAAGTTATAAAAAAAAAATTTTTTTATTCTATATCCAAACCACCCTTATATAGATTTTTGCTACCAACATTTAGGCTTGCCATAGCATCCTCATCAAATTCCATGCCTATATTCATTTTTATCTTTAATTATATTAGAAAATTTGATATCATCAGAAATATCTTCAGATTGATCCTCACATTTATTGTTTTACAAAAAATATCTTATTACCCATTTTATCTCTCTTAACATTTTTGCTTTTTAATTTCTTTCTAAGGATGTTTGAAATTAAAACTTTATTTTAAATATTTTTTTTTATTTAAGGCATTCATCTCAAATTCAATATCTTTTCTTTCTTCATTATCTAATAAATATAAAATATTTGAATAAACTTAGAGATTTAACAGACGAGTTTCGCATATCTTAGAAATCTTCCTAGGAAGAGGTTTAGTAAATTGAATTTAAAAATGAATTATTTTCAAATATTTTTATTTGTCATATTATATGCTATATTTATTATCCATTTATTATCCAATTAATATCGATAATAATTTTATAATTAAATTATAATTTTATAATACTAATAAAATGAGTGATATTGATACTTCATTTCTAACACAGAATTTAATTGCAATTGTTAACAATATGAAAATATAATTTATATTATAATTTAATAAAAATATAGTCTTATTAATTTTTTAAAAATAGTATCAAATCTATATATAATACATAATAGAATTCTAAAAAAATATCGTTCAGAGAACTATCAAAAACAATTTTTTCCTTTAGGGGGCTATTCAAATTTTTCAGGGGCTCGCGCTTGCGTCCTAAGTGCAGCTTATGGAGGTAGGTATAGATTTCTGAGGGGTTGCATCCAGTGAATACATTGTCATATGTAAGCTGGATGATGGGTTTTCTAAAAAATAAATTATTCTAATCCAAAAATAAACTCAGATTCATAAAAACATTTTAATTCTTCAATGACAACAAGTTATCACAATAATACTCAAGACCATGAGAAAGGCCAACATTCTAAGTACTTTCGAGCCCTTAGTCCTATTTCAAATGGTAAGAAACTGTATTTAAAATTACTTGCATAGACATAACAAGACAAAATTAAATACTTATTTAGTTGGCTAAATTAATAAAACAAACAAATACAGAGTTAAATAACATCTGTCGTTAGACCCTAGAAACTTAGGCAAGGCTGATTTTATCATCTATAGTTTTTTATTAGTCATTTTATTTATTCTTTATCCGCTATATTTCTGTAAAATATATTCATAATCAACTTGATTTTATATGTACATTTTTGTATATCATTGATAAGAAATATAAAGATTGCGAGCAACAAATATTATTTATTACATATTATGAATAATTAATTCGTGAAAGAAAAAAAAGTATAATTGAAATAAAGTTCCAATAAAATAAGATAGATTATTTGGCTAATAATATATTTATATTCTTGTCCAAAAATTATTTGGATAATTTTAAATATTTTATTGTTTCGATATTTATATTGTATAAATCAGAATGATAATTAATCATAAAATCACAAAACTATTATATTTATTATTAATTTATTTCTTTTAAACTGAATTTTAGTTGTCATAATATTTTTTAATTGATAATTTCATTAAAATTAAATTAATTATGTTATTGCCATATTTGATTGCTGTCGCTAATCAAAATCTGTTAGGCTAAGTGATAGTATTGCACTCTCCTTTTTTCAAATATTTAATTTCTTCGCTTATTAGCAAGGCCTATTCCGTTTATTAATGATGTACAGGTATGTTTATGTATTACAAATTTGCGATAATAATGATTATTATTACATTAAATGGATTTAAATATATTTTAGTATTTTAAAATCAAACATATTTAAAAAAATTCTATCTAGATTATTTATACATTTCATTTTTTATTAGATTATTTATATTTAAAATAAAGATATATTTATAATGTTACAGTATATAATGAAAAATCACACATGTCAATTTAAATTGCCCCTGTGGCCTAATGGATAAGGCATCGGTCTCCTAAACCGGGGATTGCGGGTTCGAGTCCCGCCAGGGGTACTTTTTTTTAAATATTTTTTTTAAACAAAATATTGCGTTTTATTCTTAGCATATTTATTTTTTTTAAAAATGAATGTAAAATATTTGAATAGTGCTTAGTAACAAGGTAATTATATGTTTACATTATTCTTGCAATGAGATTCCTATACTGATTGATTTTGTATATATGTAATAAAAATACGCAATATTTTTTTTTATAGGCAGGCAGGATTTTTAAGGTTTATATGAATATAAGAAAGTGAAAATTATAAAATTCATATCTTACTTAATGAATTATTTTAAAACCTTTTTAACTTTTTTATACTTAAGAAATTGTTCCATTTAAAAGTTTTGTACAGCTTCAATTCTTTTTTCAAAGCTCATTTGACCAATTTATGATTATAATTATATTATTTGTCAAAATATTTATAAGTATTTTTAATTTTATTGTTATTTTCTATATAATAAAAATATGCTTACAAACAAATAAAATTTAATGGTCAACTTTTTTTATTATTTAAGTTTTCAAGAAGCAATTTCGTTGAAAGTTTCTACCCAAATGCATCTTAAAAAAATTTTGATCTCATCATCGGTTTTACATTTTTTTTTACCATTTGAAAAGGATGAATCTATTTTGTACCACTTTTCAACATGCTAGATAGAGACATCTATAAATGCTGAAATGAGGTATGAATGACAACCTATCAAAGAATATAATAACCACTCCTAACCGCTTTTGTTTTGTACAAAACAACAGGAAGGACATTTAGACTAAAAAAATCAGCTGCAAAGACCTATAAATATCACAAAAAAATGTTCCTAATTATGAGCACTCTACTAAATTTAACTATATTTTCCTTTTGATACATTATATTATATAACCAACCTGTGAATAATTTCATATTTAATCATCATATTCCTATAATTACAAAATATAGTATCATGCTTTTAATAATAATATAGTTCAAAATATAAATGAACATTTAATTATGCTTATAACTTGTATCTTGTTATTTTCACATATTGTTAAATTATTTAGCCGAGTCAAGTTAGTCATAAATTCAGGGTTGAAGCCAGAAATGAGCCAAACCCACCCAGTCCCAATGAGCCACACAATTTATCAATAAGGTTAGCAAGGCAGGCTCACTTTGGTCCATTAAGAATTTTTAAAACAAGTTGTCCAGTCTGGCCAGGGCCCATATTTTTTTTACCAAAACTAACTCATTATAGTTTTTAAAAAATTTGCCAACCCAACTGGCTATAATGTTTAAAAAAATTTGCCCAGACTACTTCCTAATTTTACATAACCCTATCTGGCCCACAATCAGGTTTTACCATAATTTCTCCAAGTTTTTTTTTGTACAAATTTTCTGGACATCCAATTTTTGATATCTATATCCAATTTTTCCACAGATGTGAAGGGTAAAATGGAATAACCTTTCCTATAATAATAAATTATTACAATCCGGTATGTTTGATTTTATTAGTTTACCAAAAAGGATTTTTATGTTAATGGAAAGCTTTTGGCCAAGAATGTGTCAGCCCATAAATGATCTGGATCCTTAATTTTGAATTATAAGGTATCGCAGGATCATATTGAATGCTAATACTATCATCAGAGGATTTTTATTTCGCAATTCATCATTATTGGGTAAGTGTAAAGTGGGAGCTAGTACAGAAACTAGTTATCTGGATCCAGGACATCTAGACAAAGTTGGTCCACGCAGACTAAATTTATTATCTTTATTAATTACAGTAAAATTTAAGGCTACAAGGGCACAGCCTTTTAATAGTCATTTCAATTTTAAATTAATACTGCATTATTTTTGCATAATGGATGCCATATTATTTGATTTTAATATCGAAAGATAAGGATAACCATGGTTTGGTTTAATTTATTATGTTGATGTTGACAATGGATTATAAAATATAATAAATAATATGTAGGACGACGCTTTGATAGGAAAAGTTAAGGTTAAGGTATGTTGGTAGGAATACAATCAAATTAAGAATATCAGATGGGGGTAAATTTATAGCCTTGCTTAGAACAGTATAATCTTCTGCAAAAAGGGCAAAGATCCTTCTTTTAACATTCCATGTTGTATTTAATTTCTATGATTATGATTGTGGATTTTAAAATCCTAATTTTTTGCATTTTTAATTAATTCTTATGTTTATAAAATAACTTGTATAATTATTTTGTAAATTTACAATATATATATTTAATTTATAAATTCAAAAAGTATTTTAATTTAGTTTTAGAAATCTCTCAAAATAACAAAGAATCGACAAAATATTAGCCCAAAATTTTTAATAAAAAATATATCAATGTTTTATATGCCCGGGTTTTGGCCTATTAAAAATTTCGCTTAAAAATTCTAGATTTTTAGAGGCCCTGCCCTTATTTTATTGGCGGTTATAAATCATAATATAATATTTTTTATTGCATATAAGAACACACTTCATACTTCACGTCGCTAAATTTGCACCTAAAGATCGAAATATTTTCCCAAATCTCTCCAAATATTGCAGTCGAAATTTAGCCCAATCACCGAAGCCCGTTACGGAACCGAACGAGGGTGCTAACAAAAAATCGGCGGCCATCGTAAAAGCTTATGGCGAAAAGCTCGTGATCGAGGAGATCAAACATCCTGATCCTGCCACTCACAAATTAGGAAAAGATGACGTAAGCGACCCTCTTGTCAATTTATATAATTTACGTAATGTCTACGTAATTTCAGACAGTTTTGCCATTAACCTGTCCAAGTTGAACTTGGACAACTTAGTTTCTGATAATTTTTCTGTGACACTTATTGTATAAATTAAAGAAAGGATTTAAATTTTAATGGCACAATTGTCCGACACTACACATAATGGAATCCATCCGGCAAAACTAGATTTGTTAAAAAAAAAATTAAAACAGCTGACATTCTATAAATATATTAGTAATTATTATTTTTCTTATTTAATACGATTATATTTATATTTTGATATCTTTTTTTTTAAATGGAATTTTTTTTTCTGGGGAAGATTGAAACGCAAGAATGAAGGGGTAATTTGGTTGGGGCTTGTTTGAGCTCTACATCGGATTGGCTTACAATACCATTACATTACAATACTAATTGGTAGTTACTATTATATAACTCTTGATTGGGTTTAATTGAATAAAAAAATCCTCGCTTTCCAAAAAGGGGTGTTAGCTGAATGATTTTGCTTATTGATTAGGAAAAAGTTCTCAGAATCTGCATTATTTAAGTTTTGAATTTCTAATATCTTTGACTTCTATTACGATATCCTATAATAAACGAAATTTAATCTTTCTAAATTGATAATTATTCCATCACCAATGATTGTATACCAAAAATAATTTTCCGGGTAAATTAAAAACAAAAACAATATATATCACTTTTTGGTAAATTAGACATATGTAAAAAAAAATTTTTTTTTTAGCGTTTATATCCACGACAAAAATTCAGTAAATAAATTTTTAAAAAAAAATTAAGACATTTACTAATATACCATTACTATTGGATTTGATTTATCAGCCATTGGTATAGAGGTTTTAGGCTAAGGTTGACAACAATTCCAATATTTTCTTCGTTTTCAGTTGCCAAAATCACCGAGCTCACAACATGTTAGTAAGGCAGTAAAAATACTTTTAAAAAAATTTATAGTCTCTTTTATAATTATTCACCAGGTGGTGATTCAGCCGAAGACCAGTTCCTTAACCTTCGCCGATCTATTGATGATTCAAGGAAAATATCAAATAAAGCCCGACGTTCCATTCGTAGCAGGTTATCTCATTCTATTTAGCAGTGCATTCAATTAACCAAACTAGAAGAGAAGAGAAAAGAAAGAAAGAAAGAAAGAAATAAATCATTATATTTTGAATCATTTTTTTCCCTGTATATTAAAAAAAAAAAATTATGAGCGGTTAATAATGTTTAACAATCCTTTATATAAATTTTCTAACTGATTAATTGGTATAAATAATTGTAATTTAATTTGTAAATCTTTCTTTCTTTCTTTAAAAATTATTGATTGGCCAAATTTTTTAAAAAATTTTTTTTATTCCTGGCGTAATTACGAATAAAAAAAAGGAATTACTTAAAAAGTTATAAATTTTACCTTCTTTTTGGAACATGCTTCTTGTGAAGATTTAAGAAATTATTACTTTTTATAAAATTAATTATTGGACGAAATAAAATACCTAAGGGTATGGTTAAAGGCAGGGATGTGAACCCCAAACCCGGGTTTAAGATATTTAAATTTCATTTGATAGAAATTTTGCTAACGGGAACGTAATCGAAACCGATTTCTTAAGAGGGGTCCTAACCCGCCCCAGGTCCATTTTACTTTCGGTCTTCATTAGTTGTCCTTAAATCGTTCACTGTTTGTTCTGTGGTTTCAAAATGCCCCAACCAAACAATTTTTTATCACAGCCCAGGTTAAAAGGGACGCCAGGTATGGAATATAAGATACTAATTGTTTTTTTTTTTGGTTTATATGTATTTTATAACGTTAATTGTAACTGTAGAATAGATTAGACATTCAAAAAAAAAGAATTTTTTATATTTGGTTCGATAATAGTAATATATTTATTATCCACCAAAAATTGATAGGCCGGGAAGTTAGTGGCAAAATACTTGAAACGGGAGGCGACGTTAAGGACTTTAAGAAGGGAGACAAAATTTTCGCCTTCTTGCCCAATGGTGGTGGCTTCGCGAATACCATGATTTTACCGCAAAAAGTTTTCTACTTATTAAAAATTAACGTTATTTTCCATTTTATTTACATTCATTTGGTGCATTGTAGTGATGTTAAACGACTCGTTTTGAGCCCATTTTTTAAAACGGCTAACTCTTAGCCGGAGAAATATTTCCCAAGCCTCGAAATTTCGCTAATAGATGTCCAAACCTTTGTTCCTTCTACAAACATAATCTTGAGGCTTAAGCAATATTTTTCTGGCTAAAATATTGAGTAGCCGTTTTTAAAAAAATTAAGTAAATAAATATTTGATATATATTACTGGAACTAGTGAAATATATGTTTATCGAGGATTAATTTTTTAAAATATATTTATTATTCTCTATAGAATTGTTTTGCCCTACCGCAAAATATGGATTATAAAGTAGCGAGTTCGTTGTACACCTCATATATCACCGCGTACCTCGGCTTGGTTTACAAAGGAAACCTAACTTCACAGTATTTATCATTAATTTGAACGATGAAACCATGTCGTGTTATTAAAATCATCTATCCACCCCCCATCCAATAAAGGCATTGGACTATTGACATATAATAATAATAATACCTAGACTGACGATATATTCATTTAAATGTGGTACATCAATTGAAAAACAGCTGGGGACGCCATTTTGGTTACCCATAATCATTATTAAACATTTTAAACCAGAGGTCAAATTTATTCTTATGTCTGACGCAAACATTGTTAAAGAATTAAAGGAATTGCCTGATCGTGGAGATAATAAAGAAGCAAGTTATCAATTTAATAGTAGATTTAACATGAGAAAAAATGGCGGTTCCAGCTGATTTGCATTCAACGACGCTTTCAGATGCTTTATCATGAATGCATTGTCAGTCTAGGTATTATTATATGTCATTGTATTGGTCCCAGTTTATCTCATTAAAATTCTATCAATCTTTAAGTCAATCGACTCGACTTAAAGGTAATATGTCAATTTTTTTTTAAGAGATAAAATAAAGTTTGGCATAAAAGTTTATTGGAGTTGTTTCTTTCTTTCTTTCTTTCTTTCTTTTCTTTCTTTCTTTTCTTTTCTTTCTTTCTTTCTTTCTTTCTTTCTAGACGATTTTATACATTTATAACCTTGACTTCCTAAACTATTTTTTTTTGTTACAAGTTTTCTTTTGCGTTAAGTTTAATCTATTTTTTGATTCAACATATCCTGCTCTCTTGATAGACAGTTGAATCAAAAATTGACCAATGAAAATGAGTTTAAAAAAAAATAAAATAAATATTAGCATTAGACATGGGAGTTTATTGTATAGTATTTTTTTTTTAAAAAAAAACTCTAAGCCTCATTATTATTTTTTTTAATTTCAATCGCATTCTATCAATAACTAAGGCCCTAGTTTATAGTTAATCGCGATGTTCGCTCGAGCGACAACCTATAAGGACCGGCGGGGGGGGGGTGATATGTGGACGTTTTCCCTCCTTAAAAATTTGCAAGTTATTGAAAATTCCCCACTTCTCTAAACATTATCATGAGTTAAAATATATATGGCTACGCCTATCGTTTAGCGTATATACTTATCGCTTCCGATTAGCGGGTATATTTTAAGCTTACTACAAACTAAAAAAAAATATTTTTAATATATATAGCGATAAGGTTTTGGTCACTGGAGCCGGTGGAGCCGTGGGCATGGCGGCTGTCGATATTTGCGCGAATGCCTATAAAACGAAAGTTTAAAACGCATTTTATTTTTAACCTAAAAAAATATAGCGGCGCGATTGCGATCAGCGATTTAACAGCTGACATTTTTTTTTTTTTTAAATCTGTTTATGAGATTTTAATTTATTAAAATCATTATTTATTTAGATTATTATTATTATGAATTGAATTAAAGATAAAAATTAATATTAATAAATAAAAAATATTGATCTCATAAACAGCTGATGAATCGCGATCGCAATCGCGCCGCTATGAATTCAAGGTAAGGCGATTTTAGTTTATAGGCTTTGAAAAAGTTTTTTTTTTCCAAGGGTCCGATCGAATAGAAATCATATGTTTTCGTAATTCATCGCTCATTAAAATAAAAAAAAACTCATTAGCATTTTTAGTCCAGATTTATCTATGAATGGACTCAATAAGTCTCTGCGAATTTTTGTTACGTAGCTTTTGAGACTTATTTGAGATCACCTAATGTAGCTTAAACATCGTTTTCTTTTTGTTCGACTAAATTTGGGGATGTCCTTGGATGATATTATGCCAGAGGTGTCGTTAGGGGAGATGAAAGAATTGTTACTTCACCCCCCTCACCCCCCCCCCCGCCCATTTTTATATATATCTTGGTAGCTCTTTCAAAAAATTTACCTCAAATTTGCTCATAGTTTTATAAAATTTTTCTTCTAGAAAAAGCAATTTGTTTTTCAGAATATAAGTTTCTAATCATCTCGAAGGATAACAACACCACAGTGTCACTTCCCCTACCCTTCCCCCATTGAACAATTGATGCTGACGCTTATTAATAATAGGCATTTTGATTTAATTTTCAGGAGACCTCTTCACTTAGTCGAAAGTTATTTAAACTTGTTGTTTGAACTTTAACCCCCCTGCGTACATGTTTAGGTTATAGGAGTAACGTCGAGCCCGGAGAAAAGTGAGGCTATACGACAAAAGGGAGCCTTTGCGACCATCGAATTATCGAATTTGTACAAAACGTCAGTCAATGCCGAATCAGAGAAGAAGGTATAATTAATGATTTTAAATTATATTTTCTTTCTTATATTTTTTTTTAAAAAAAAAAAATGATTTTTACTTTCAGCCGAGGACCGGGGTTCATCTGATGCCATTTAATTTATTTATGTTTTCTTCAAAGTTAAAACTGTATTTTCAAGAAAAAAAAGACCGAAAATAAAATGGCGTAATAGTTTTCTGCAAAAAAAAATAGATATTGCCGCTAATATTCGTCTAAAATGGCCAAATATAAATAGGAATGACTTACCCAACTACTTCTTTTTTTTAAGCCGCCATTTATTATTCTTGATAATTTCTCTTTAAAAAATTTCGCTAAATAAAATGGCAAGGTTAATACTTTTTTTAAAAAATTTTAATCTATTATTAAAAAAAATATAAAAATAGAAGGTAAATGGAAAGATCATAGAATCACCTATTAAACAGAAAGTTCTAGCTTTGACAGACGGGAAAGGTGTCGATTTAATCTACGAGACATTGGGAGGAAGCATATTCGAGGATTGTGTCAAATGGTTATTTTTAAAAAAATATATTTTATGATGGCTATTATAGTAATTGATAATTGTTATTTAGGAAAAATAATTACTATTTCCTTCTCTTCTCTTTTTTTTCTTTATTTCTTGCGATTACAATGCATTGAGTTATTTGTTGATCGAGTCGATGCTCTGAATTACTTAAAGTCTCCTATGACTACTACGTTAATATAATCTAAAGAACGATTTAAATTTTAATAACGCTTTTGAACTTTTGAACGAAAAAATAAAAATAAATATCAACTTTAATCAAGTTTGTCATTCGATGGCCGATTATTGATAATCGGTTTCTCTTCCGGAACGATTCCTTCAATCCAAACCAATCGTCTTTTGCTCAAAAACCACACACTTATAGGGTTTACTATGACAAATTATTACAATCAAGAGCCTAACACCATTTTTCAGGAAAGCTTCCAGGCCATCTCATCCTACTGGGAGAAAAGCTACATCCATCCAACCATAGATCCTCAGAGCTTCGATTTGTCTAAAGTTTTATTTTAATTATTTTAAAAAAATTCAAGCGTATTTTTTTCTTCTTCGAAGATCTGAACCTGATCCTAATTTTTTATTTTATTTAAAGATTAAAACGCGCGATATTTGAACTAACCCTAAATTCATAGAGAGCGCGAATTCGCGCCAGCTGTGAATTCCGGGTAAAAGCGGGAAAAGCGCTAAAGGAAATTTAAAAAAAGGTCAGGTTATTCTCATAGGATTTATTATTATACCCAAGGATGCTTAACAATGCCAAGAGAAAAAAAATTTCCATCATAGAGTGATCATAAAATAAGTTTTTTTAAAAAAATCCCCACTATTTTAACGTTAAACATTTATTCATGCGTTAAAAGGATCTAGTTAAAACGTCATTCGATTGCATTGGATATCATAGATGATTGTAATTCCTTGTTTAGGGGCTCTAAGCAGTTGTGATTTGAGGTTTAAAGTGGTTTATAATTGTGGTTGCTGCCATAAATTGTTTTTTTATTAACAAAATTAAATATCCAACAAGGGTCATTTTAGCATTGTATTATTATGTCAAAGACTTGACTAAGATTAGGTCTTTAGAGCAACAATAGATGGCTTATGGATTCTGGCTTTTTTCAGGGGTCACTTAAAGGGCCATGGTTAATTCTGTTGTATATCTGCTCTATCTATATGGCGCGCGCGATAGTTTTAGAAATGATTTAATTTATTTTAGGTTTTGATTCATCGATATAAATTGGTGAACATTTTTTTAGGGGTAATTTGGTTGCTGAATTAATGGTTGGCTTATTCCGAAACAAAATGGGAGGGATCCAAGCTGATCACCTTATTGAATTAAGGATGATATCCGGGCTTATTGTAAGAACGAGTTACGGGAGAGGGTGTTTTATCTGTATTAGCGAATCTGGATGACATTATTTCAAGTTCGCAATATTGTCCACCTTTATTAAAAGCTGTGCAAGATGGTATGGGGCAAAAGATTTGGGAATTTATTTTCTTCTATGATGATGAATATAATGAGGTTCTTTTGACATCATTTTTGTCACTTCTATATATTAAGAACTTATGGATCGAGTCGGTTGATAAAGAAAAATACTTTCAAAATATATTATTAAAGAAGTTCTAAATGATATACCACCAGTATATAATCAAGCTCAAACTATAACACCAATAGATTTAATATTTAATAAAGAAAATGATTATTTTTCATTTGGTACAAATGTTGCGAAGTTCTACAATATAAATAACATTGAACTGGAGGTTGAGGCCGAAATACATTAGAAATGCTTAAATATTATCCTTTTGTTGAGGGAATTTTTTAAAAAATATAATTACTGCAATACCTTGGCGGAATGTTAAATACGCCTAATAAACAAGGACTTAACGAATATTTATTTGAAAAATTGAATATCTTTAAAAAAAAATTGATTTGATTTAATCTATATAAAATACTCTTTTGCAAATTAATATTTCAACTCCCATTAAAAATTACTCTGTCTCATTTGCCTGTCATATTCTATGAATAGGCTAAAAACTAATTTGAAAATGCTTGATTATTATAAATATTCATTCTTGTTATATGCGTATGTCATGTTCTTCAACCAATATATAATAATTAAAAAAAATGTATTTTATTATACTTGACAATTTTTAATTTAAATTTTTTTTTTATTTATAATTATATTTTAATTTTAAAAAAAATATTATAATAAACTAACTATTTATAAAAATTACTAAATAAAAAAATAAAATATATATATAAGTATAAATATCGAAGGCTCTAAAAAAACAGCTTAATTTAGTAATGAGAGTGTCCATGCGCGTACGCAGGAATTTGGTCTGGGGGGGATAATAAATTTTTTTAAGAAATATTATTGTTAATATTAAGGAAAGCATAAATTTATTAGGACGAATATAATACACAATTTTAAATTAATCTGAATTACAAAAAAATTATATGTATAAACCGGCATTGAAAAACTATAAAATAAATGAGAAAATATAAAATATAAAGTGAATATAACCACGATATGACCCAAAATTGAAATTTGAATTTTTTGAGCCTTTAAAATATATAAAGTATAAAAAATTTAAATGTTGGAAATATAAATTAATACACAAAAAGTTTCTTAGGAATAATTGTATTTTGTATGTTTTGTAATTTTTCAATTATCTATCCTTGCTTGACGTTAAACGCCTGTGAATATTCAAAAGATCCAAATAATTCAATCTACTTTCAGAAGTTGTATTTCATAGGTATGCTTTTCAGAGACTTGCAGGCCCAGCCCCCGAGCTGGACCGTATTTTAATTTTTTTTAAACATACCCGGGCCGGGCCCGAAATATTTTTAAAAAAGACTCAGGCTAGGCCTGAAAATCTTTTTTAAAAAAATATCCGGGTCTAGCTGTATTTTAAAACCAAATATTTGAAATCGCCATTATTAGCTATAAAAATCAAAAATAAATATAATTTATTTTTTTAAAAATTTTATTATCAAAAAAGCCGAGCCGAAAAAAAAATTTTCTAATCTGGGCCGTGCCCTGCGAATAGTACCTCTGCGGGGCTCTGTTATTCTTCTTAAAAAAGAGAATGTTTTATCATTAGTTTACTAATGGGAAGAGTTGCTAATATATATATATAACCATTTTAATACATTGGGAATATAATCTAAAATGTGTTTGAAATAATGCTTAGCATCCATAGCATTTTTTGGGACTGTATCAACCATAGTTAATCTTTTAATCATAGTTATTCAGCTAATAAGGCATCATAAGATATTTTAACATCTTCATGATATAAATCTATCAAATATTTTTTTTTTCTATCACCATCTGAAAAAGGTTGGAAAGGCTTTTGTGGAAGTAATATCTACCGATATTATTTGATAAAAATAACTTAGTAGATGAATGTGATGAATAAATGTAATTATATATTTAATATGAGATAGGAATAAATATAAATTAATATTAACAATAATATTTTCGAATATTATCCGGCATCTGCATTTTTTGCCCCTCCTCCACCGCTGCGTACGCGTTTGAGTGTGTTCCTAAAAAAAAAGTATAATTATGTTTAAAAGTTTTCAAGCTAAAGTTTTTGTTTGAGAAATGAAATATAGATTTCGCGGTATTCGTTTGTTATTTTAAATATTTTACAAAGTTTTATTTAAAAAAAGGTATGTTGACTGGGAAAAATTGCCGTTAATTGTAAATGACTATTGGCTGAAATATAAAAATATTGTGTTTTTGAATATTTATTAAAAAAAATTTTTATTTTTCCCAGTTAGAGGGTTATAGAATTGATTGAGGAAGAAAAGAAAGAGACACAGGTTGCGCCCAATTTATAAAAAGTATCTCGAATTTAAGATACTCTTATTAGTAAAAGATTCAAAGTATCTTTCTAAAAGATTTAAAGTATCTTTCTGATATTTCTGAATAAGTTATTAGTCTTCTCTATCTAATATGCATATTTTTTTATAAAGAATATATTTAGATTCTCAACTCTGAATAATAAATTTGAAAAAAATGTTAGCATTTTCAACTTTGAATGTAGATTATAATAATAAATAAATGATTGTTGATATGATTGATTTGATTTCTTATATAGATATAAGAATGATCCCACACATTCCTGATTAAGGATATTATGTAGGAATATATTGTTGAATAAATTTATTTAGAGTTAACAAGAACATTTTACATATATCGGTAAAGAATGATCCAGAACTAATTTTTTATTACATAATATGAATAGTTGATAATTGTCATGATGGATAAATAGTTGTATAAATACTATATTATGTAATATATGAATATGTAAAGTTGATGATGTCTTATTTAGGATAAAAAAAAATTATTTTTTGAACCGAAAACGTAAATAAATACATCTAAGTTTGATTAGCAATTATTCGTATCATGCAGCCTTTCGACTTTTATAAGATAACATGTAAAAACTTTTATATATTATTTTAATATTCACATTAATTTTTATTAAACTTAAATTATAATTTTAAAAAATGTATTAAATTTAATAATATATAATAGAAATTTATATCGTCTTTATCTAAAAATTAATTTTATAAATTAGATTAACATCATTAAGTTTATAACCAAAATGAAATATGTAAAAAATAATTTTTGTATTTTATCTTGCAATATAATATTTAACGCAAGTTGGCGCTAAAGCGCATTTAAAATGAAAAGCCTTTTTAAAAGATCTGGTTTGACCGGATATAAATTTTCGCTGTAAAACACTTACAAATCTTTTAGAAATAGTTTAAAAATCGATCGTGCCAATCCTCTTTACCACACAAGGGTGAAAAGTTTAAATTTTAAAAACTTGTTTTTTGGGTCAAGTTATAGGTTTTGGGTAGTAGTTTAGTATTGCAAAACCTTTTGGAACAGTTTAAAAATATTAATGTCAATAATCTTTACTACATGAAGAAAATCGGAAATTTTTAAATAACTAATTTTTAAACTGGAATGAAAAGTCTTACGCAAAATCTTTGAGAGTAGTTTAAAATGAATTGTGTCAATATCCACATGGATAATTAAAATCCATAATTTTACCCAAAATAAATCTCGACTTGTTAATAAGATTTAATTTGCCCAAAAAATTTAACTTTTTTTAGTGCGAGTAAATGTGACTTAGTCTGGGTTCGAAAATTAAATTTGGGATTGGCCCTTGCATAAATCTATATTATGACCATGTCGTTATAGTGATCTTTTTATCATGGTCCTTCAACTTATCATTTATTTTAAAAAATACTACCATTAACTGTTGCTATTGGAGATTTTACCATGTATTTCATTGAAAATAGTTATATCGGAAATATAATTTGAAGTATTTTATTAATATATTAATTATTTTTATTGCCAAATTTGGTTAATTTATTTATTCTAGATAAATGACGCAATCGAATATCTCAAGCATAAGAAGTCTATAGGAAAAGTCATTATAAATCTTGAATAGGCAAATTGAATTTTTATTTATGTAATTAATATTAGATGAAAAATTAGCGTTTTATAATAATCACTTCTACTTTATTATGCTTGATCAAATAAATTGTCTAATTTATTTTATATGATGTAAATAGAATATTTCGTATTAGATATTATTTTCGTATCGTAGTATTTTCAAATGTATTGGCAATTTATGAATATAATGTTAAAAAATTATTTGTAATTATGGTGTAATTATTAAAATAGGCTTAATAATCTTAATTTATTTGTTGAAACCGTTTAAAAGAAACATTCCTAAATGTGAAAGATGGCCGACATTTTAAATATATTGCTTGCTAAATGTTAAATATTATATAAAAGCGATGTTTGAGAATTCTGATTAATGTGATGGTTTTAAGGTCTCTATAATATTAAATAATATCTTATAAAAGCGAATCTAATATTTATTTAATAACTTCCTAATTAAAATTGTGATTCGTTAAAGATTATCTATCATTAAGCAATGTATTGTTATGGAAAAACAAAAATAATCAATTTCTAGTGTATACATTAAAATCTTATTTGGTAGAAATAAAATAGAAAAATAAAATACTTTTTTTAGAAGGCAATCATTATATGAAAATCATTATCAATTAAAGAGGAGATTTTTAGGTCATTTTAAATAAGCCTATCGAGGTTTGGATGGCAGTAATATAATTAATAAAGAATACTAAATAGATGTGAAAATAATTTTATGAATCTTTTATATTCCTAATGTTTAACAGCGGAGAAACCTATTAAATGAATTAAAAAAAGGCCCCATTATTTTAAAATTAAAAAAAATAGAAAGTAAGGACTTTAAGTTAAAAGGGTTTTCACAAAAATAAAAGTTATGTATGAATACTATATATATATATTAAAACTTTAAAAAAAGTTAATCATGAATAAACTAAAAATCTATCAATATATTTTAGAGAAGTATTTCTTTTATTTTTATGAATAATAGGGTAATTAATATTTTTATCATATGTTAGGTTTATCAACTATCCCTTTAATGTGAAATTTAAATCGATATACAGTTTTTAAACTGTTATCAATTTCATCTAATTACTAGTGCAACCAACAACAAGTTTGGAATATTTAAACATTTAAATAGTTAATTTAAATTTAGTGCTCAAAATGGATCAAAGTGTTATTCACGAAGATTTCGATTTAGTGATTTTAAATGAATGCAGTCATGTTACCAATATATTAATAGATAAAGGGTATATATTTATTATTTATAACTAAAATTTGGGTGAATTAAATGGAAATAGGTGTTATAAAAAATATAACCATATATTTATGTTTTTGATTATATTTGACTGTTTATTATATTTTTTTTAAAATATCTGTTCTATTTTTTGTAATATGTAGTACAATGATATATTGGCAATAAATGTTTTTATTTTTAAAGTTTACTAGGTATTTATATCTAATTTTTTTAAATTTTTAGTTATCATTTTAGATATCACATAAATAAAATGGTACAAAAACTTTATTCATAAATTCTAAATTTTAAAGATTTGATAACAAAAAATTCAACCTTTTTTTTAGAAAAAAAATTAAATATATCCTGTCCTAACAATGACATGGCCTATGTAAAGTATATAAACTTTAAATTTTGTATCCAAAATTGTTTGTTGTCAATGGGCACCTTTTTAAATTTGTAGTTGTTCCAACTTTTTGAGGAACCTCACCTTGCACTGATAGTAATAAATATAAATGAGATAGTGTGTTGATTTCTATAATGAGATAGTGTTGCACTTGGCATGTGTACATTTTAAAAATAAATTTGATATATGATGAAATAAATAGAACAACTCATTCAAAATTTCCTAAATATATTCAAAAACTTTTTCTAAGAGAGGTCTTGTTCATTGTCTTCTAAGGGTAAGTTATTAATAGGGCATATTTTTTTAAAAAATTCTTTATTAACAAACGGATTTTATGGAAGTCAAATGAATTACTTGTAAAGGCAGCATTTGCAAATCTTCAATCAATCGTATTTTAATTTCTGGTTGATAATCTAATTTACAAAACATTGTTTTGTATTGAATTGAAATGTGGGTAATACCCATGTAGGTATTTGAGAATTTTGTCTTCTAAGGTAATTACTTTTGCCATTTTGATTAAGTTATTCATATTTGCACTTACTATAAATATTCCATTTTTTTTGATGACATTTTTTTTAGGATTAGGGGTCAGATTGATCACCAATAGTACAATTTGTTAATTTAGTTATTTCATTCTATCAGAGCTTGATGATAATTATGTGATATATGTCATCATAAAATTAATATTTTAGATCATTTGACCATATATAACTGGTCTAATATATCTTTGGCTATTTGACCATATTTGAGTGGACAGTTGACCAACTATTAATTATTTTAGCTCACATGTTTTTGTTTATGTCAAGTTATTTTCAAGCTTCAATTTTGCATTGGCTCCTAAAACTTTATATTGCAATTGTAAATATTTTATATTTCAGTACATGCTAACAATGACCAAATTTGAACTTTAGAATCCATTTATTACTAAAATTTTACCTTAAAGCAGGCACATAGCCAAGGAGATAGGCTTTTCTGGAATTCCAAAAACACCCTAACAGCTTTGAAGGTTCCATCGTGTTGGGCATGCTTTTTGTAGTTTTTTTTGTTGTTGCAGCACAAGAAGTCTTGAAAAGAGTTCAATTCAGCATATATCTAATGATAAATTAGATTCTTCAATTTTGTTCGATAGTTTTATTCGCAATCATTGCCCATCGGATAATGAAGATGAATAATTAGTTATCATAATTTTCTGGTACTATTTTTTGGGTTTATATTAAATTATATTACTTTTTTTATATCCATCAATGTTTAAGATTGAAAAAAAAAATAAAAAAACGTATAGAAAACATGCTTCAAATATTTGTATGGATAAAATAAAAATTACTAAGAAGAAATTTAAAATATAAAATAGAATTAAAATAGAATAGAATATAACTTGTATTTAGCGATTCATGAGACCTCTTATAATTTTTCAGAATTATTTTTGCTACAGTGGCAGCTGGCTAAGCGCCCGCTTTAGAAAGTCTTGGAACTTGGTTCTAAAAATTTTGGTAAAGGGGGTTCTAGTTCACAGATTTTAGTTTTATTTTCCGAGAGGAGTTTTAAAAAGTTATAGTTTCAAAAATTGTTACAGCAATAAAGAATAAACTTCAAATCTTTTCAAAAATAAATCGTACAAACATTTTTTTTTTTGACAGCAATTTATTTTGTCGCGAACTTTTGGACTCGATAGCGATTTGTAACCGTTTTTTTCCATAAATTTATTATTTTTTGAAATATACAAATTATAACCGGAAATTGATAATCGTAGAATAAGTATTTCCAAACATGCTTTATAATTCATTTCCGGTAAAGAATCATACGAAACTGGTCATATAGTGTTTGTTAAACCCTCTAACCTTGGCCAGCTCTTAAACGGCTTAGCCAAATTTTTATTCTAATAAAAAAAAAAATAAGTGTCAATCAATAAGATGAGGCTAAACTTAGACGTTTAAGTCAATTTTTTTAGGGGATAATCTTGACCACTCCTTATTATTGGAATTTGTCGATGTCAGGTGACTTAACATCACCACATGGTCTTCGAACTTTTTGTTCACGCAATATATAAACTGATATAAATTTTACCTATCATTATATAATATTTCATTAACTATTAATATATATATATATATAATTTAGTGATCTGCATCGGGCCTAATTTTTCAAGTCCAGCCCGGCCCGAAATTTTTTTTTATAAAGTTTTGCCCGGTCAGGTCCGGTCCGGCCCGAATTATTTAAATATAGAAATTAATTTTTATAATTAATCAAAATGAACGATATGTGTTATTTGGCGTCTACTTTCTCTATAATAAAATCGCCTATTTTTATTTTACATAAAAAAGTTCAACATTAAAATTGATAAATTTAGACATATTTTAAAAAATTTATAAGGCCAGACCCGACCCGGCCCGAATTTAATTAAAAAAATATTACCGGGTTCGGGCCGGATACGGGCCTGGTCTAATTTTGCAGATCTCTAATGTAATCATTTCCCAACAAATACTATATACTATTTTGGCTATCAAGATTCTCCTTCGAATTATAATAAATATATAAAAGGGATGACGAATAAATTTTTATACTCGAGAAAAACATATGCTTTGGGTAGCCGGCGTAATCGTACGATATTACAAAAGTATTTTTAAAAAAAAATGAAGACTGATGTCTGTCAATCAAAAAAGGGATCGATAATAATCTTTAAAAAACAGTTAGAATATCGAAAGGGTTAACACCTGTTCATGGACCATTTTAAAAATTGGAGTCAGGGGAACAAAAATTTGAAGGAATTAGGTTCGATAACTGATACCGGCTTAAAGGTTTGAGTTCTTGGATCCCTTGCTAGATTTGTTCCAGTTTCGAAGATTCTGATACTACGAACTCTGTTTAGGAAGAAAATACTTGTAGTTAGTTTTCCAAGTGAAAATTCTTGGTTATGTCTTTTTTTTAAGAAAAATGGATTAGGAAAAAAAAAATTTTTTTACCGAATCCTGTCATGACCGGAAATGGAAAATTTTAGTAAGGGTCCAAATCTAGTGGTCCGAGGATGGATAATCAATCACCCGCGGATCTAATATTAAAGCTGTGTCCTAGGGCGGCTTAATACTTATAGCCGTCTTTAAAGTATCAGCTAAATATTCAAAAAAAGCAAAAAAAAACAAAAAACAATCGAAAAAAACAACCAAAAATACGAGAATAAAATACGAAAAAATGGCAATGCCACCATAGGGTGTACTAGATCTAACACTTTATAACCTATACTAAAAATAACAATTTAGTATTCCAAATTAAGCCAACCTAAGACACAGCCTAACTGATTATACGATTCAAAAAATTCAACCAATAAGTTTGTTTTTTTAAAGGCCCATTGACACCCTCACTCAGAAATATTCTAGGTAATACTCCTTCTTTGTTTACTAGTAGTGGAAGTTCACCCACGTTTAGACAGAGACTTTGGAGGCGGCTTTGGAGAAGATTTTCGATCTTTCATCGGCTGAAGATTCAGTCCGTACCGCACAGATTTTATGACTCTGATGGTTTCCAAAATTTTAGGAAGAAAATGGGAAACGAGGGGTTCTGCTTCTTTTTGATTCCTGTTCTTAGAGTTGAATCTGACTTGAGGAGTTTCAGATTTTTTTTTTATTTAAAAAAAATTCTTAAAATAAATAAATCAAATTCCCCAGCTCTTTTTTGTGCTAAAATTGCTTCCGGAGCCAGTTCCTCGAAAATTTTGACATGATTTCCGGTAACTGGACATTTTAAAGGAATGGTTTCCCTTCCTGGATTTGTCCCGGCTCAGATGGTTCCGTTTTCCAAACTTTCCTTTATACTCGCACGAAACAAATATTTATAAAAAAAAAATTTTAAATCGTGCATTAGATATTTACTTACTTGACTGGTAGCATTTCAAACCCTAAAGAAAAAAAAAAGGAGGCAGGGGCACATTTAGCCCCACCACCCATTTCGATTCCGCTAAAAATTTGTATGAAGATTGATTAATCGCTAGCTTTTTATATTACCCGAGATATTTAAGGGGGGTTAAACGTGCCCCAAAAAAACATTTTTAATCTCTCTTTTTTTTTTCTTTCTTTCGAATTTTATATAATTAGTTATTAATTAAAAAAAAACTAAAGTAATTTAAATATTGAATTCGGAATATATGACCGAGATAACAGCTGATCCATATTTAAAGAGGTGGGGGTTGGGGGTGGATAAACAAAATTGAAATTAATGTCCAGTTTAAAGTTTTAAAACTTGTTAGATTTTTTTATCCCCTCTTCTAATCGTTTATTTTCTTCAATAATTTCGAAGAATCAACGCGAATAATAAAAAACAATGTTTTAAAAACATTTAAATTAAACAATAGTCATTATAATGGGTTATACAAAACAAGTGAAAAATGATGACCTCCATTTTTTTGGTTTGTTTCCCACCTATACCAAAAATAAATATTCGAATCGATTTAATTTTTAATTGATTGATCGATAATTCGAAACCCCGAAAAAAGGGTATGATTGACGTTTTTCTTTCCACCTTTTAACCCATCACGGGTAATTATTTAAAAGTTAAGCTAGTTTTCAAATTTTCGTTTTCCGATCTGGACTTTTGGCTTAAAGTCCTATCACCTAAAAATAGGGGAAGGTGGTCGAGAAGCGTGCGATTTTATGGCGGAATCATCCCATGGAAACCTGCTAAGGCCGGTAGAAATTCGGTGTTAAAGAGTAGCAAGCTACTTTTTCAATAGTAATTTTTACCGACACTGATAATTATGGCTATAGATTAACCCCTTTTTTAAAGGTGTGACACTTCTAAAATCGGTTAAACTCCGGGCTCCTACTCGAAACTTTGCGTCGAGCGGGCGTGAGCTTCTTAATAAATTCGAATCGATCCGAGCTCGGGCCTAAACGCATTCAATTTGCGGAACTTCAACTGTTTACTACTTCGAATTTAAGCAGCCATTTTTTAAAAAAAATTGTAAAAATAATAGCTAAAATGGCAACTCTCTATATTCCCTAAAAAAAAAAAATTAAATTAAAATTAGAAGAAAAGGTGATTCGTTATCGAGATTTTTACATTTCTTTCCCCAAAAATTTGTAATAATATGATAATAAAAAGGTTCTGGGGTAAAGAAATTTGATTTTCTCTCTATCGGAGATTAATTACTAAAGATTTATATTATATATATAGGTACCATTTGCGTGGGATTTATATATTCGGGACCGACCCGGCCCGGTTATATTTGATAAAATAAAAATCCGCTCCGGACTTGGACTCGCAGGTTCTCTGATATATATCAACCAATGGACGATTTACATATTTCTCGAAAATTAAAAAATATACGATTTCTTCGAAAAAAAAAAAATTACACACATACACAAAAAAAAAGAAGATATTAAATAAAATAAGAAGATAAATATTTATTTAATCCCTTATTTTTATTTTATTATTTTTACTTTTTTTTTTTTAATTTTTAACTCCTTTTTTTTTATTTTTTATTTATTTTTTGTATCTAAATAAAATATTTGTTAGCCCTCCCCCCCCCCCTACCTACCTACCTTTTTCCTTCATTTTGTTCCCTATTTTTTTTTAAAAAAAAAGATAATATTTATTTTTAAATTATTTCGAAAAAATATTTTTTGTGACGAAACTTTATTACAACAAGGTAAAATCAAAAAAATTACTTTTTTTTATGACTTAATTTAATATTTACGATTTAAAAAACTAAAAGTCGTCTAGCAATTTGTTCACGATTCCTAGAGGATAATATTGTTCAATAATCAGAGAGATTCTTTATTTAACCTATTTTTAAATAATTCCATCTAAAAATTACAATTCCTATTTTTTTATATAAAAAAAAACACATTTTCTTGTAGTTTGGCGAGCACCAAAATCTTATGATGCACAGGTAAATTTCATTTTTCATTTTATTAAAAATTTCATAATTTTGAGTAATATTTTTTTTAAAAAATGTATAAGATATTTATAAAATTGAAAATATTTTTTTTTTGTAAATCTTGGCCAATAACACATCTAAATTTATATATTATATTATATATATTTTCTAATATTTCGAAATATTTTCTGAAGTTTTTTCGGAATTCGGATTGTCAAATTCCGTTAGAATTAGCCTGAAAAGCCTTTTATAAGATAGCCCCTAATGAATTTTCCAAGAATTTTATTAAATAATAAATGAAAAATTAAATATTAATTTTTTTAAAATTTGTCATTTATGCCCAAAAGGTATATATTTTATAAACTATTATAAATGATACAAAAAATAAAGCATATTTTTTTCTTTCTTCTTACATACTATGAGAAAGTTTTTAAATAAAATTGTTTGTAGCGACTTATCTAACCCAACCCGGTTTTTATATATTTTGAAACCCGGCCGGGTTTTTAAGATTAATATCCGGGTTGGGCTTGCCGGAAGAACCGGTTTTTATTCTTATATATTTTCATATAAAACTGCCAATAATGGAGCGTTCATCCATTTTCCCTAAAATTTACTTTTAGCGTCAGCAAAATTTTTGTTGTTTTCTTTTTCATTTCTTTCTTTTCTATTTAATTTTATTTATTTATTTTTTTTATTAAAAAAAACTTTTACAGAAATAAATAAATAAGGTTCAGAGTATTCTGCAAAAAAAATTTTTATAAACAAACAAACCACCTAAGTGTTTATTTATTTTTTTTCTGATTGCAAAAATTGGGGATAATAATTATTATAATTAACAATAATATATTTCGGATACCCTTCGATTCGGCCGGTTACCCGGGCTTGGCCGAACCGCTTATTTCAAACATCGTTATGATCCTTAATATAATGGATGGATCATTTTAAACATTAGAAGTTTCGCGATATAGAGATGCTAAAATTTTTAAAACCCAGACCTGGTTGGAAATTCCGGTGCGAAGGTCGGAAAATGGAGATTATTTTTTCCGGTTTCCGGTATATTTTATAACCCAATTACGATTGGCCAATTTTTTTAACCTCTCAGCTGATGATATACATTTTTTTATTTGTCTTCTTGTATATTTAGGTTCTTGAATAAATCAAACGGGTTTGAAAAGTGTTGAAAAAAAATATATATATATATTCCATTTTATATCTGTTTTTTTTTATTATTTTTTTCGATCAACTAACCAACATATTTTATTAAGATCATTACATTCTACCTTTAGTATTATAGAACAGAGTTTTCGAACCCGGATAACCGATTCCGAATACGACTCGAAAGCCGCCGGATATTAGACTTGAACCGCTTCTGGCTCCGACCTCTGAATGATATGCGTAATCTTACTGAGAGTTTAATCATTTATAATTGAGGCTCTGCCTTGTCCCCCTATTATCGTTGAAGTTTTCGCCGATTCGATATTCACCCGAACCGATCCGATAATCGGTATCGGTTACTAGATCGATTTTTATGAGGCCAGGCGCACCTATTAATTTATATTCACGACATATTCACCTTCGGGGCCTACGCATCCCTCTTATACAGTCTAAACGTGTAATGTGTTTAATGAACACAAACGAAGGTATATAATTTTTTAGGTTTCCATTTATTTCGAATTAGATCAAAAAAAAGTGAGAAACATATTTATTTTATGATTTTACTTTTTATTGCTATTTTAAGCCATTATTTTTTTTTTCCAGCCAAAGTGAGAACGTAGAAAAATATTTATCTGAGCTGTTCTTTCCTTTCCTATATGTAATAAAAACAAACGCGAATCGTAAAATCGCAAAGAACGCGTTTTTTCTTCGAATAAAAATGTTTTGTTTTTTATATTAAATAATATTATTCTTTTTTTTTCATTCCGAATTCACGGATGATACGCTCCACGCTTTTTACTAAGGATGATATTCCATTTTCATGAACTTTTTTTTCCGCCGCGTTTTACTCATTGAAGCGCCGTAAGAATTTCGATAAATTAACTTAGAAAATAATATCGCAAAAATCGTCATTATGTTCAATTCTGATTATTATTTTTTTTTTTTAAAAAATGAAAATGAATAATAAATTATTTGTGATTTTAATTTTATCCAATCAGATACCGATACGTTATAAAAATAAGTCCTTAATTTTTCCAACTTTCCTAGTGGAACGAATATCGAAACGCATTCGATGTTTTTCGCCATTTTTTTACGCGGTTATTAATTTTCAAAAAAAAATGTTGTATCACGTGATTACATACACACCTAATAATATATAATTAACCCAGATATGTATAGTAACATTACATTTATATATTATGATACTAATTGGTAAACGATATGTGATATTTGATGCTTCCAAAATCAGATGTTACATTACATGATGGCGTCTTGTATAGTTAATAGATATAATAGAAAATGGGAACTACGGCTTATATCATAACTAATATAATTTTTTGTTGAATTTGGTATATGTAAGCAGTAATGTCGTTTCCTAAAATAGAAAATAGTGAAAGAAATAAATAAATATTATTTTTCTAAAAAAAAATAAATAAAAAAAATAGGATAAGTGAAACGGAAATTGACCAGAAGGTCAAAATGTTTAGGGAAATGCTCATGAACTCTTTCGGAAACGCGACCGGAAGTGAGAAAGAAGTTGCTCAAAAAGACGGGACTTATTTGGAGAGTGGGCGGGAGGAACGCGTCGAATCCAAACAAAAACCAAAGTAATTTAATATTTACTTGGCAAACATGTTGGGTTTTTATTCATATTTTAACACTTTGAAATTCTCAACTTTTTCTAAATCAATAAAATAATTATTTTTTTTTAAAAAATATATATACATATATAAAATTATTTATTTATTTAGTCTACAGGTAGAGATGTAAAAATTTTTTTTATTATAAGAGATAATGATTCCAATTGGCACTGGAAGAGGCGCAAAAAAAAAATACGAATATATAATATTAGTAGTAGAGTTTAAAAAATATTAACGTTTAATAATAATTATTGTAGAGATTCGCAAAAGTCGACCCGGCCCGGCATGAAGCCCGTTCGGGCCGGGCCTAATATTTTTTTCTAAAAAATTCGGGTTCGGTCGTGTCGGGCCTCAGAAATTTTTTTTTAAAATATCTCTAAATTTTATCAATTTTATGTTGAATTACTTATGTAAAATAAAAATATTGAGACGCCATATAAGATATATCTTTTATTTTGAGTAGTTATAAAAAAATTAATTTCTATATTTAAATAAATTCGGGCCGGGCTGGTAAATTTTTTTTAAAAAAAGGCTTGAAAATTACTAAATTATTGTTCCCAATTCTATCCCGCCAAATCCATTTGTAAAGAAAGGATATCCAATCAAAAACTTAAGATGATTTTTCGAAATGATATAAGAATTTGGCTGAAATCCGGAATGAAAAGTTAAAATCTCTCGCCCAAAAAAATGGAGTGATAAAAGGTTATTCGTGTAAAATATTATTGCCATCTGTTTTTTTAATATATAATAATTATCGGAGATCTGCAGAGTTACCATTTTCACGGCTCGGTCCGGCCCATGTACCCTGGCCGAGCTTAGGGCTGGGCCTGCAGGTTTCTCATAATTATATTATGGTGTTCAAATAAAATCTTCTATAGGCGTTGTTGTAATCGCTAAAAATTTAACGTACAAGTCGGTGACGTTAAATTAGATCTCGAGACTTCTAAGGGTTTTAAAAATAAAAGTTCCAGGAGTATTTAAAGTGATATTCGTGTTATACCTTCTATTACGCTTAAAAACGGTGCACTAAAAAAGTAACCTCATTTCTAATCTTTTTTTGGGGGGGGGGGGGGGGGAAGGAGCTTGGAAAGTAATGGGTAAAAGTTTTCATTCTATCCGAAAAGTAACGCTAAAATAACGATTGTTTTTACCTTTTTTGGGGGGGAGTATTTAACCGCACTGGTTAGAGTGTTGTTTAAACGGCTCGATTTGAGCCGATTTTTAAAAACGGCTAACTCGACATTTTATCTAGAAAAATATGAGTCAAGCCTGAAGATTTTGCTCATAGATGGCTCAAAGGTCTAGATATCTATTAGCAAAATCTGGAGCCTTGGACAACATTTCTTTAGGCTAAAACATTGAGTCAGCTGTTTTTAAAAGTCGACTCAAAATTAGCCGTTTAACAACACTACGTGGTTAGAACCAAAGTTTAACAAAAATAAATAATATTTAGTCCCGTTTCGAAGGCCCAATATTTTATTCTTTAGGCTATGTCCCAAATCTTGGTTTTAAAAAATTCGTAAAAATATTTAAAAATATTTATTTATTTTTTAGAAATTAGAAGTATCTTTTTAGGACACGTTTTTAATTTGTTATATTTAAAAATAGGCTTATAGTTTAAAGTTTCAAAAAATTCGCGAAATTTAGTTTTCGATATTTAGGACAACAACAAAGAAAAAAAAACCTAGATTTTATTTTGAATTGTTTACAAAAAATAAAAATAGGAAAAAACATTCCAAAAAGCTCCGCGAAAACAAACCTGTCAATCATTCCACTACGCCCACGCTCGAAATATCTAACCATTTTGATAACGCGCTAGAAGTCATCAAAAATGACGGCAAAGCCGTCAAGAAATTCAAAGAAATCCCCCTTACCCAGTAAATTATATATTTTATTAATTATATTTTTTTTTGAAATTATTAAATTTTTTTGTAAAGGTTATTTTATTAATTATTATCGACATTTTATTTAACCAAAAAAAATATTCGCCAGAAATTCCAGGATATTATAAAAAAAAATCAGGTATTTTGGTGACCCATTTTTGATTATAGATATTTTTTTTATAAATATTCTTTCGTATATCTTTATATAAAAAAAAACAAGACTTCAAAAGTTTATATATATTCACAAGAACAAACAAATAAATAATACTCTTTTATTTACAAACAATAAATAATAATAAACAACATTATTTATTTACGAAATCAAAAATAATAATAATAAAATAAATAAATAGGTGTAAGATGGATGCCATTCTTCCACCAAATCAACTCACAAAGAACACTGCTATTGAAAAGTTGCTAAATTTTATATTTTTTTTTATATTAAAATAAAATAAATATTTTAAAATATAACAGACCTTATTGGCTTTTTGACGATTTCAAATTTATCAAATGTCATTTTAAATATACTTATATTTTTCTTTCTTGTGATCTATAGAGGGAATATTAATTATTATAAGATAAGATATTACATTTTTTTAAAAGGTACGTTATAAAATATTATTAATGTATATCCAATATATATATGTATATAATTTCTGACCTATGGAGAGAGTCAACAAAAAAAACATATTAATTATCTATAAATTTAAACAAAAAAAAAATTTCTTTCTTTCTTTCTTACTCCTTTTCCACGTCGTTAAAAATATTAGCAAAGCATCAAAAAAAATCTTACATTCTACGGCCCTTCAAAATGGCCTTTCAATTTCTACGGAAGATTTGGGGCTAGTTGACCCCAGGTCTAGAAACGGGACCAAGAAAGGGTCACGAGAGATCAGTACTACCACCGCGTTAGATCAGAAGGTAGTAATCAAACGCGAGAAGAAAACGCGCAAGCGCGCCTCTTCGACCGAGATGAGTGAAGGTGCCGGTGTCGACGATGTTGACATTGACATTGACACCCAGACATTGCTCAAGTTTATTTCTTTTACATATATAATATTTATTGGTATAATAATGTGTAATAATAATTCCTATTATTTTAATGTAAGATAATAAACTCACGACTTTATTACACAATATTATAAGTTGTTAAGCGTTGTCATTTTATTTTTTTATGCGATGGTAATTATTATAATTAGTGTTACGATTTCGGTTTAAAATCGGGCTAGGCTAAAACCGGGAGGTAATTCTGCTGATGATTGCTTAGCCGGGTTTTGAGACGGTTCAAAACTGAACCGACTTAAATGAAAAGGTTATTTCTCAAGGCTTATAGATAATGAAATTATTCCATTTCATATAAGCATACATTACGAATGGTTGAATGAGAAATTAAAATCTTCCATAATTTTTTTGTCGTTTATATTTCGCTCGTTTATTTTGCAGATTCAAAAAAAACAAGGAAACATTTTTTATATAAATATATTCTTGTTTTTTTATGTTTTTTTTTTAAAAATCACAAACGAAAAATTTATAAAAATATATATTCTGATTTATCAAAGCGGCTTTGAACAGGGTAAGAGTTTTGTAATCATGGGTAAAAAAAACACAAATATGTTTTTTATGTTTTATATTTATATAATATAGAATAAATTTGTTTTTTTTTACGAATTTACTAAATATTAAAAAAATTTAGCGTCTTGAATTATAAAAAGTAAAGTAATATTAATATTATTATTATTATTGTAATAATTAATCGAGAATTGGTGAAAAAATATTTAATAACTACATGAAAGTTTATCAATAAATAATTCTTAGCTATACATTGTATATTCCCGGAATTTTATAAATAATTATATATATCTAAGATTATCTAGTCGTAAGTGAAAATCCCATCCCATCACCCCCATTTCCCACAAGATATCCCGGAAATACAACATCTATCCATTTCTTTCCAAAATATTCTTAAAATATTTTGTCATATATTCTTACTTCCATCTTAACTTATACATTGTATATTACCTAGGATTTATAAATTTACTGCCTGATATCTAGTCGTAAGTTTAACCCTAACCCCCCCCCCCCCCCATAATATCCCGGAAATACATCTATCCTTTTCTTTCTCTTTTCTTTCCAAAAATATTTCGTAACAAATTTTGAAATAGCATTTTTTTTTAATCAAATATATTCCGATTTCCAAAGATATAATTTTCCCTTTTTTTTTGTTTATATTCAAAATAAAATATTCAGTGATAAGGTATCATCAAACAGAGATAGGATCTACGAAAAACACGCCCATAAAAGGTTGAATATTTTTTTCTTTTTTTTGACTTTAAATTCTAACGATATTTATACTAAACTTAGACTGACCATTAATTTTATTTAAAAGTTCTGTGAAAATTTGATAAAAAATGAATCTACCAGGTGACAACGCCATTTTTAAGACCTCGCACAATATCTACAAATAAAAAAACATAAAAAACAACAGTCGTTATAATTATAAAATTTCGGTTCTTTTTATAGTTTTTTTTTGGAACAAAGTAATCACGTGATATTCACTGCTAATTTTATTGGTCAACAAAACAAAATGTTGTTATAATTATAAAATATCGTCCCTTTTATAGTTTTTTTTGGAACAAAGTAATCACGTGATATACACTGCTAATTTTATTGGCTAACAAAATGTATATCTACATTTTTAAAAAAAACATAAAAAACAAACAGTTGTTATAATTATAAAATCTCGTCCCTATGTATAGTTTTTTTTGGACATAAATCACGTGATATACACTGCTAATTTTATTGACCCACAAAACGTATATATCTACAATAAATAACATAAAAAACTAACACTTGTTATAATTATAAAATCTCGTTCCTTTTATCGTTTTTTGGGACAAGTAAATCACGTGATATATAAAATCAGGCGATTATTTGTAAATACGATAAATATTAAAAAAAATAATTTCTATATATTTTACGACGAGTAAGCAAAATTAATTTTAAGATAATAATGTAACAAAGTCTTGTTATACATGGACAGTCGCGGTCAAATGTCGCTCTAATAGACGGAAAGTAGAATTTCATCGAAATGCCAATCACATTTCTTCTAAATAAATTTCGATGGCGAACTTAAGTATTTACGCTTTTTTTTATTCTCGGTCTAGGTTAGTATTAATATCAAGTGATATTATTCATAATAATATGATCTTGATAAAATCTTATTTTTGACGAAATATTTTAAAATTTTTTTTATATACAGAAAATTATCTTGTTCCAAGTAACAAAAAAAATAAATAAATTCAATTTTCGTATTATTTTTTGCTGACTTAATTTTTCAAATCTTCTTATTTTAAATTTGTTTACAGAAAAAATTCCGCGAAGAACAAAGAGGCCTCTAAGAGCGTCTCGCGTACCTCGGAGATAATAAAACCCGCTAAGGATAAAGTAGTAAAAGTTCTGACAGAGCAACCCGCACCCCAAGCCCGTAAATCTTCGTCCTCTAAGATTCACTCCTCTTCAAAAAATGGTGGTAGTCAACTCTCCGAAGGCAAGAATATGCGGAAGCCAATCAAATCTGTTTATCCGGATGATAGGGAGGCTCTCCGAAATTTATTCGTAGATCTGTTGATGGAAGGGCAAGCCTCGCCCACGCGCTTAAGGTAATTTTATGATAGAGTACACTATTTATACTTGGAGTGCGCACAATCGTAATTTGAAAAATAGTCCGATCTCTACCGAAAACATTTTTATATATTTTTTTTCGAATCAAAGTCGGATCTCATTCACCACGCATTCACAGTTGGTGCGATATCGCGGTAAAGTTTGCTAAAAAATTAATGTAAAATATTTTTATCAAAAATTCGCGCCAACTTTCAATGGCAGGGTAAAGCCCTTTATTTTTGGCAGGTTTTGAAGATGCCAACTCTCCGAATATATTATAGATAGGTAATAAGATTTTAGGCTGATGATTGACAATCAGTTGGGTGGCATGCCATTTTTGTTTTCCCGTATAAACAATTTACACAAAAATATGAAAAACAAAAATGGCGTCTCACCCAGCTGGCTTCTAAATGTATTTTAATGAAGGAATCATTAAATGGCCACTTATCTTGCCCTTGATGGTTCTATCCACCTTTTAGGTCTTTTTTTTTAAATAAAAATTCTACAAATATACCCCTGATGGCATTTTTATCTTAAAAATTAATTTAAATAAAAGTGGAGTTAGAACCCTATAATAATAAATGATAAAAATGGCAAAATATATTTTGAGGTTTTCTGGGGACGGATTCTTATAGGATTTCGCGATTGTGTGATTTTCATAAAGCTAGAATAAGAACCCTCGAAACCGAGAAAAAAATTTATCAAAGCCCTTTCTTTTCAAATTTATAAACCGGAAATGGTTCTACCAAAAAACCCATTCATACATGTAATTAGAACCGGAAATTCTCGGAATCTAAGAACTGAAGAACCATAACTATAACCTTTTAAAAATAATTTTAAGGGGCCAAAAATAGAGCTACATTTTTTTTTAAATAAAAATAATATTTAAAACCGCCGCCATTTAAATTCGGTTTAAAACTCATCCGGGTTTGGACCGACAATGCAACCCGTCTACTCTTCTTAAAATTTTTTCCTAGAGCGGTTTAAACCCGGGACCGCTGATATCTTCGCGAATCGCAGATAAAAACGTTATACATATATATATAGTCCCAGTGAAAACAGCGACGATGCTTCCACCGAATCCGAGTCGGAAGAAAAATCTTCCAGCGACGAGGCGGACGAAGATGATTCGGCGAAAGTTTCTTTACTCAAACAACTGATGCTCTCCTTCGCCCAATCCTCCTCCAAAAAAACTAAGAAACGCGATAAAGAAAGCGGTAAGAAATCTAAAGGGACAACCTCGGCGATAACGTCCTCTCTGCCCGAAAGGTTTTAAACAAAAAATTAATAGTACTGTAACTTATTTTGTGCACTTTTTATGGGCACGGCCCCTTTGGGTCTTTTCTAAATAAGCCGTTGCAAATACTTTTGAAATAACGATCGCAAAATTATATTTCTTCCAGACTTTTTAGGAAAAACACCCTACCCAAATGGTCCCTTACAAATATAGTTGGATGACGGCAAAATGTCGGCTAACTCAATCTTCGGACACCTGCTGGAGTGAATCCGTTATACCCCCCCCCCTCTCCAAAGCCAAAATAAGAGTTTTGGGATAAAAACTCTTGATTTAGCATATTTCTTTTAGCCGGCTGAAAATTGGCTTAAACGGCTAAAACAAAAATATAGTAACCCTGTATTCGTAGCGGCGCGATTGCGATCGCGATTTAATAGCTGATCAATTTTTAAAATCTGTTTATGGGGATCAATTTTTATTTATTAATATTAATTACTACGAATTCAAGGTAAATTACCCAAAACAAAACTAAACTCACAAAAATGTAAAATATTATAAATCGATTTTGGCGAAAAACATTAAAAAATATTTCCATTTTAAAACTCGTAAATAATAAAAAAAAAATTCTTAGGCGATCCAAACATTCCAGGAAAAGACAAGAACGACCTTCAGACATAGAAACGGTCTTGAAGGCTTATTTAAACGATATCCAAAAGGCGGCCGAAACGAAGGACGGAAAGCCTAAAAGGGATGATCGCGACCATAAAACTAGACGCGGAAAAAAAGGTTTTCTAATATTTATTTTTTTTGGTTTTTATGGGTAGGGGAGGGGGGAGGCAGGTTCTTATCTTGTTAACCTTAATCTATAAACGAAAAAAAACTACAGTAAGCCCTCAAAACTTTGGAGAGTCATATTTAATAAAGATTTTTTTTATTTGGATATGGTTGCAAATTCCTATATAGAATTTTCTTTATGATCTCTCCTTTTCGTTGAAAAGCTAGCGAAGCCGTTGGGACGAGGGTAGGAGTTAATAAGAATATATTAAATTTTCAACCAATCATTTATATAAATTTAAAGGTAAGAAAATTGTCAAGGACGCTATCGACCACGACCAAACGATGGTATTGGAACAGCTCGAGGGAAAAGCTCCGACTCGTTCTTCAAAACCCGAAAAATATTCAAAATCCGATAAAGCGGATTTGAAAAAACTCGGTTACGTTAAAAAAAATCGACTTCGAGACGTTACGGAAAACGACGTCCCGGTAAGCTGGGATATGGAAGAAAACAACTATGATCAAGATGAAGAAAAAGAGGAAAATGATTTGAGCCAAGATGACTCTCCACTTAGCTCGAAGCGAGCGAATGAGCAAAGTTCGGAACGCGACTTAAAAAGCGTGAAACGCGGCACGGAGGAAAGCGAAGAAGACGAGGACGAAGCCCCCAAAGATGAAGATACCCGCGGTAGTTGGACGAAAATTCAGGATAGCGATAAGATTGCTTATCAAAGTATCAAAGAAGGTACCTACGATAAAATGGCTAGCCATGACGAACAGTCTTCGCCATCCGGCGGTGACCCCTCGGATCGCGAAAATTACAAAAATGGTGACGATAATGATGCGACGAATCACGAAAATGGGTTTGATAGCGAACCAGAACCCGGCCATAACACCGAAACGCTCTCGACATATAACGACCGCGTCTTCCCTTCGCCCGAAAAACTCGTGGTCCCTAAGAAACGGCACGATGATTACATTAAGCGTCGGCTGCTAGAGCTGCACGAGGAGCGGGAAGAACTGAAGGTGGCCAAAGACAGGGCCGCCAGGCGGGAAAGAATATTAGAGAGGCGCATAGCGATCGACAAGGAGATCGCAATAAAACAAAGAGAAAAGAGGAGGGCCAACGAAAAGAAAAGATCCGATGATAGAGTGCATAGGGGAAGTAGAAGTAGAGGGCACGGTGGCGCGTCTGGCCGAAGAAGTCCCCACGCGGATAGGCGCAAAAGGGAGAGATACGTCGAGAGGTCGAGGAGTCGCCGCAGTTCCAATAGGAAATTCAAGGGAAGATCGAGAAAGAGCCCCGATAAGGATTCCGGCAGCAGCGGCAGTTCCAGCGAGAGTTCCAAAAATTCGGGGAACGGGCGAGCATCCAAAAGTTCTACCGGGGAAAGTAGTGCCAAAGGTAGCGGCTCCCCCAAAAAATCCGTCACCAATGGCAGCGGAGGGGATTCTCCTGTCATTGTTAACAACAAATTGAACGCGCACCAGGATTTTCGGCATCGCCGGCGGGGTAGTCCCCACAGGGCTTCTTCCAATTATAAGAGGCCCGGAAAGAAGCGCGAGGGGACGGATAATTCTATAGATACTCATAAAACCGGTTCGATTAAAGACGGGTCCGAAATCCGGGTTATCCGTCAAGTTTCGAAGCTTGGTAATAAAGGTTTCTAAAAAAAAAATTTTATAAATTTAAAATTTCATTAAAATTTGTGAAAGTTTTTGAACTTTTATAATTTTTTTAAAAATGGTTTTGGTCATAGCCTCAAAAAGAATTTAGTTACCCATTTCTAACTATCCATAAAGTTATTTATTTTTTAAGCTCCTTCTTCCTTCAGTAATCTGTTTTCCATTTTAGCGTTATTCGTGCATTCCATCTTATTTCATATTATTCTGGCGAATGCTGGTTTATGCCATTGGTCTGTCTCCCTCTCTGCCATAGATTGAGCTGTTTAGGCCCGGCCAGTAACAGCCCACCCGAAAATTAGACTCACAAAAGTAATTCCGACCCCGGACGGATGGGTGTCCGGGGGATCGGATTGGATCCTGCAGATCCTTACCCTACCGTAGCTTTTCCGATCACTTCTAAACTATTAACCTTGCTTCTCGCATAGGCTTCAGGGCTCCTCGTTAAACAAAAATTTGAGAGAAAAATGAATGCCGATTAGATTTTTATAATCGCGTATAACTTTAAAGGCCTACCATTTAGGCTAATATAAAGCAAATAAAATGGCGCTTCCTAGCTCAGTTATATCACGAGGTATCTAAAAAAAATAAAAGGAATGCATTTTCGCCCAAAATGCCCCATGTTTTTCTGCATTCAGAGGCCCCATAAACACTCATTCCGATGTTTGGGGTTGGAGTCTAAAATCTGTATTTTTTTTCTTCATTCTTAATTATTTGATGAAGTGGTTCGGTTTAAAAACCGTCTTTTTTATGTTGTTGATTTAGTCACAATTTCGACATATTCATATTTTTCGTAAATCTCCGCTCGATTTTTTGATAAACCGCTAACCTGATATTTTAGCCCAAAAATATTAGGCAAGCTTGGAGATTTGCCTCATAGATGGTAGAGAGGTTTGGATATCTATTAACGAAATTTCGAGGCTTGCTTGAGAGGGGTTTAACAACACTTAGGATTTATTGATAATTATTTAAACTCTGGGACAAATAGCTAAAATCTTATATATATGTATATATACATACATACATATCGTTGCTACTGTTTCTTATAGCTAAAAAACCCCAAAAACGTTCTACAACCATAGATGAGAGCTATTACATCGATCAGGACGAAAGTCAACACCGGAACGACGACAAGGAACCAGACACGGAAGAGGACGGTAAACTTAGGAATCGATCGCTATCTATCGACGCGTGGAATTTTAACGGCGCGGCGTTATCTAATAATGTTGCTCTGAATGATAATCGCGAATCCCTCAATCCGGTAAACGACGTGAACGATATCGGGGGCAAGACTCCCAAACGCTCGCGGAAAAAGTCACCTTCGCGAAACGGGAAAGTGCCCGCCACCGGTGACGTATTACTGGAAGAGGAGGTGTCCAAGGCAAATGGATTATCTGAGAAGGTGATTGTAAGTCCTGCCAAGTACCTTAAATCCGCGAGAAATCGTAAAGATAAGCGTAAATCGAGCAGAAAGGAAAATGAAAAACCAGATGTTAAAAATGGAATAGCCCCGGAGGAAAATTTGGAAGATTACGAAGATACTCCCGAACACAACGACGCCTCCCTGCCCTTAACGTATTTATTATTTTATATTTCGATCTTCTGTTTTAAAGCTGTGCCGATATACTCGACCCAATATTTTCCGATATTCTTTCACAACCGACCGGTTATTAGATCGGATTTCGGATAATATCCGTAAATATCGGATCGGTAGATTTGCCAACAACCTTAGTTCTAATTTTTAAAGAGTCGCAATTGTTCAGTTATGCCGTGGGGCGGAACTCAGCGATTTTTTTGACCCTATACCATATCCAAAACACGTATATTATGTTACAGGTCAGTCAGTCAGTTCGCGTATCGCATTTTAAATATGTATAATATCCTTGCAAAAAATTTAAATCATCAGAATATTCAAATATAAAAGAAATAACAAATTTCATATAATAATAAATTTTAAAAATATAATCAAAGTCATTTTTATGGATAATCTTTCGTCGAATTCATGTTGAGTGACAAGATCAGTTTCATTGACTGTCATCTAGAAAAACCTTGTAAATTTGATATGTCAAAATACTTTTAAACAATTTTTTTTTAACTAAGCCTGCTAATTAATATTTGAAACTCGCCTCCCCCCCCCCTTCACATTACGTTTATAGTTAAATATGATTTCTTTAATTTGCCTCCAATTTATCTTAATTCAAAAAAGCTTTCGCTTCAAGCCTATCACTTTTTCCAAAGACCGTTACAAATCGCTTCCCAAATCGCGCCGTCAAAATAAACCGCCCGTGCTTACCCAAGCCGAATTGGAAGAAAGGAATTTGTTGAAGAAGGCCTTGCTCGAGCAAGCGCTCAAACACGCTACCGCGAAGGATAGCGGCGATGTTGGAAGGACTAGCCCCGCCGACAAAATTGAGCCCGATATAACCGGTTCAAATGTTAATGAGGAAACGGTGGCCGATGAAACGCCCGTCGAACAAGTCGGTCAAATATCCGAAACCCTAACCGGTTCCAACTTTGACATAGACGAGAGACGCGAGTTGGCGCGTCTCATTACGCTAAGAACGACCATCTCAGCTGGTAATCCAGAAATTAAAACATTAACAAATTTTGTTTTTTATTTGATACGTCCGAAATTTTCGAGAGCTCTTTCGAGATGCAACCTTACTTTTTACCAGATACAAAGGCTGTATCGTCCGATACTATTTAACTATTTTTTCAAGACGGTAGTGACTGGGACATTTAATATTAATGAATAAGCGATGCCATCCCATATTTTTATTATAAAATACGAAAAAAAAGTTTGTGGTTTTCTGAATAGCGTCTGTGGCCTAGTTCATGAGTACCTATGTCACCTGACATGGTCTCCAAATCCGCTTTAAGCCGCGTCACCTGACACATGGTTCAAAATCAGCTTAAGCTATGTCACCTCACATGGTTCATACAAATCCGCTTAAGCTATGTCACCTGACATGGTTCAAAATCCGCTTAAGCTATGTCACCCGACATGGTTTAAAAATCCGCTTAAGCCAAATATGTATCGAAAGCGACGGCACGATACCGTTACTTTTTACTAAAATAAAAGTGTGGATCATATTTGCAATTCAATTCTTCCCACTTAAATTATTCCTGAAAGAAAGAAAGAAAGAAAAAAAATGATAAAATTTTCAATAATAATTTTTTTTTTAAAAAAAAAATGTTTACATGTCAGATATAAAAATGAGTGAACGCGAATCCGAGTCCTACGAAACACGTTCGCCTCCGTCTAGTAAGATAACTTGCAAGCCGGAGCTTTTGGATCGGGAGGAGGAAGATTCTGAAAGCCAGCCCAAGGCTCTGTCTACAGAGGATTTAAATGAACAAGAAAATATTTTAGAAAATGGGTATAAAAAAATATATTAAAAAAATCAAACCTTTTTTATACCAATATTTTTTTTTCTCTTTTGTTGAACATTTTTTTATTATCAAAAAAAAAATTCATTATTTTGGGTTGGTAAATTTATCAAAATGGGCATTATTGGCAATATTTTATAAAATATTGAACAGTTAGAGGTAAATAAAGTTTTGAATTGTAAAACTAAAATTGTTCGGTACTTATTTGAAAATTTGTTTTAGTTTGTATTTATTATTTTAAAAAAAAATCTTTTTATTGTTAAGCTAACAATGATATCGAATATGAAATGATTAAGTGAAATTTAGTAAAATAATCAAAAATGTTATTATGGGAATAATTTGCAGTTTTTATTTGTGCATCGAAAATAGAAAATGATTTTTATAAGTCTAAAATATTTTAATTAAAAACTTGCATGTTATTTGTAACAAACAAGACCCTTTTTTATATACTTCTGCCTTTGGAGCCTTTTTAAAAAAAAGTATAGCGGTTCAAAAATTGAAAGTAACTAGTTTTGATCAAAACGCCTTAAGGTTTAACAGAATTTTCTCCGGCACGCGCGCCGACATTTAGCCATTACCAAACTATACTCGAGATACATAAAGTGATGAGTAGTGTTGTTAAAGGGGTTGGTTTTGTAAACCGGTCAGGACTCCGGGTCTGTGCTCAGAGAAGGCCTGAGCCCAACATTGGGTAGAAAATTTTACGACTTAAAAACACTCGTTATGACAAGTGTATAATATCTCAATCTAAAACACGAATCGTATATAATAACCATCAATTTCGATTTATTTTAAAAAAAATAAAAATAATCTATTAGCAATCTAGACGATCAGGCTGATGACTGTTGTGTCTTGGAAATTACCAAGGAAGAAGCTTCTACCATTCTCGAAGAAAAAGATTTGAGATCACCTAGTTACGTTATAGATGACGACGCGGGGGCGGAAAATGTCGAGAAAGAAGACGAAAGTAAATTATAACCAATCTTAATCTCTCTCTCTCTCTCTCGTTTTAAGCATTTCGCTAGCCATTTGTAAGGTCGATTGTTGATAGTTTAGTAGTGAGTATGCGCTAACGGGAATATGAGGATTTTTAAAAGTTATCATTCAAAATCAAACACGAATGAATGAATAATTTATGATTCACTTATAAAAAAAAAGATTTCGAGAAAGATGTCTCAGCATCCCGGTCCAGATCGCTATCTAACTCATCCACAAAAAGTTCAAAATCTTCAGCTAGCTCCGAGCAGGAAAAGTTATATTTTATTTATCAGGGGGGGGGGGGGGGGGGTTCTTTGGTTCGTAGTTTTACCGGTTTTCCATATTCGAACACTTAAACCGGTTTTAGAATAACAACGATATATTTACATATAAATTAGTAGTAGGTTTTTTTGTTAAACCTTGGACCTGATTGCTTAAGATCTTTTAAGGGGGGGAAGGGGTATTTTTTCTGTTCTTAGGGTTGAGCCCAGACTCTGTATCAAATGATAACCTTAAATTAACCTCTTAGATATATATTTTCCTCAAAAAAAATAAATAGGACGACGAGCGAAAAATCGGACCGCGATGTTTCTCGCTCTTCCGGCAGTTCGCGCCACAGCAAAACTCGTTCACCCAGTGCCTCTTCCGCGAGAAGCGATTCCAGGAGTTACTATTCTAGGAGTTCCTCCAAATCATCGAAATACTCTGATCGCCACGTTAACGGCGACGCCTGTTCCACTTGCTGCGGAAGTTCTTGCGGCTCTTCTTGCAGCGGTTCCTGTAGCAGCGGAGATGATCGTGGTCGTCATTATGGGAGCAAAAAATCTGGCGGGAGAAAGCGAAAAGGTAGCTACCGAAGTAGCGTAAGCCCGAGGGGTAGAAAGAGTAAAAGAAGGAGGAAAAGCGGTAAGAAAAAGCGGAGAAGGAGAGGTGGTAGCTATAGCGATAGCAGCGGATCTTCCTATTCTTCCTCCAGCTCCCCGTCTTACACGGTGGGAAGGCGGATCACTAGGTTTTATTTTATTTTTATATTCGCTTTTTCTTAATCTAATTCATTTATCTTTTTTGTTTTTAAGACTGAGTGATAACTTTAATTAAGCTTAATTGAATTTAATAAGTATTTGAACGGCGTCTTAGTTGTTCTTAATTCTGAATATGATTCTGTATTTTCGTTCTAGTTGGAATGGTTTAGGATATGCTATTTACGCATTATCAGCAAGCTATTAGTATAATTAATTATTATTATATTTTTTAAAACACACATTTTTTAGAGCCCGAAGTAAAAGTTCGTAAAGTCGAATGTCTTTTATATGTTTCGCGATTGTCAAATTAATTCCGTTGTCGTTTAATGTATTTATATTGTACCAAAAAAATAATTTTAAATATTTAATTTGTACATTTATTAGTCATATTTGTAAAAAAAAAAAAAAATTAGATATCTTATAAGTTTGACGATTTGCATGTATATTTTCTAAGTATCAATTAATTTTTTATATATATTATTTACATACATATATATATATACCAGTATCATCACTTCTTGGTGCTTTCTAACCTTAGTCGCAATTTTAAAACATTCTTAATTAGCCAAATATTAAATGGAATCCTTTATATATATATTTTTTTTTACAAATGGGATGTGATTTTACAAATGCTTTTTATTTACATTATTTATATTTTTAAAAATTTGGGATATCAAAATAAAAGTAAATTTATATTTTTTTTTATCGTGCCGTATATAATATATTTATTTATGTAGTTAATATCGTTAGTTTGTTTTTTTTTGCATGGCATTTTAGCATTGATCGGTAAAAGCTTTTTAAAGGGCAGAATTTGTGGAAATTGGAGACTTTTTAATAGGATTTTAGTTCTGAAAATTTTTCTAAAGATAGCGTTTCTGGAAAGACTCTTATTTAGACTTGCTGTTCCCTACCTTTTTCTTTAAAAATTTTGTTAGTGTGTATATATATATAATAATAATATATTTGTTGGATATTTTTATTTTGTTTTTTTTAAACCGTTTTCTATATTAATTCGTTATCCCTAATTTTTTGTTTTTAAACAAAAAAATACAATTTTTGTTTTTTAACGAAAAAAACAATTTTTTGTTTTTAAAACAAAAAAAAACATTAAAAAATTAACAACATAAATTTTTAAATTCCGTTTCTTTACATTTAATTTTAATTTAATAAAAATTAGCTCAAGGAAACCCGCAATTTTTTATAAAAGAACCACTACAAACACAACAAACGTGAAATAAACAGCTGTTAAAATAAACGGCCATATTTATATACGATTCTGATATATTATTACGATTATAAAGAGTAATCATATGATTTGGCTTATATATATATAATTTGTATAATAATAATAAAAAACGTATTTATATATGTGTATGATATATCTTCTGTTTACGTATCCCCCTATATGTATCACATTAACACGTGATTATTATTCCACACGAAAAATGGAAATTAAAATTTGAATAACTAAGTAGATTCGAGAGTGTCTGTAGCCTCTTCTACGGTGATTAAAATCTTTGGTTTCTCATTTTGGGCGATGTTTTCCAAGAATCTGACTTTATTATAGGTAGTCGGGATTCTCATGTTGGGGGCAGAGCAGGGCCTCGAGATAATCGATTCGGGGTTAAGAAAGCTCGCTATATTCGGTTCGGGAAGGTGGGCGGCTGCTACGAAACTGCCCGTATCGTGGTTTGAGTAAGCCACGTAACTATAACCGGTCTTGTTGGAAGAGGAAAAATCCGAGTACGAGGGTATGTCTAGATAAGCTCGCCTCGAATGGTCATCGGAGGAGCACGGTTGAGATGATTGTAGAGTCAGTTTAAACGGATTAAGGAAGCTTTTGCCCGAAACTTTTGAGTAGCATTTTCCTCCGATGCCAGATTTAGTTTTATGTTTTTTGGCCGAGGGCAGCACTTTGACACAACTAGCGGGGCTCCTCTGATCACAATATGTCTCGTCACCTCTTTTTAAAAGCATATTTGTATTGGGCGATTTAACATCTTCGTGGGTGGTGTAGGAAATGTCTTGAGCTGGAACTTTTGGCTTCCCCAAAGTTTCTATTACCTCTGGTAGGCCGTTGTTATTGGCGGAAAATGAAGGGCCTCTTAACTCGTCCCCGTGTTGCGAATACGAAGCGCGCGGCGTTAATCTCGCTATTTCTGACCCGTAATGATCGTATCCCGAGAATTTGGACAGCAAGGGAACCCAGGAGTTAGCCCTTTTGCCCCTTTCACTCGCTTTGACATCGAAGGTCTTGCTCAATCTATCTACGAGCGATATTGAATTAGGTAGTACTTGGGCGTGCTTATTGCTTCTGGCGATCTGATAATACAATTTTGAAATTCCCGATTGCCTTCTTTCCTCTTTTCCGCCCACCACCCTCATTTTGTAACTCCCCGATCCGCGAGGTCCTAGTTCATTCTTGAGATCTATCGAGAATTTTCGACCCGATTTAATTTTGTCGAAAGTCGATCCGTGGGATATATCCCCGAAGGCAGCTTTACAGCACACTACCGCCGATAATAAGGAGACGCAAAAATCAATGATTGACAGGACCACGGCTATGACGTATATGGTTAGAGTGATAGAATAATTGAAAACGTTTAACATAATCGTATCTCTTTTTGCCCTGGGTGGGTCACTTATGTTTTGATTTTTCGTATTTATAACGTAGACATTTGAGCGCTGGGTAGGAGGGTATTTGAAAACGGAGGAATAATCAATAATCGAATTGATACTTGTAGCGGATTGATTCGAATCATTAAACCGGGGATATTTGGTCAAGGGAGGAAAATCGAGAGCTGATTCATTCTTAGTCCTGGTCGAATAAATTATTTCGCGTTCATTAGTTGTTATCGTTTCACGTATTGCCCGAATTTTTGACGCCTTTTGATTGAATAGGGTGTAGTTGAAATGTTTGACTTTGATCTCTTGGTACTGATCATCTCGGTCAGCTGATAAAGCGATATCTAAGGGTATCATTCCCATTGTAAGGCTACCATTCAAACTCGCGTCTTTCGGCTGCGACAACGTTTCGAGAATGCCAGGCGACGAAACTGGTTTCCTGTAGATTTCGCAATATATGCCTAAAATGGCGAATATGAGTATGCAAGTCGATGTTATAACTGATATGATGGATATGGATAGGAATGTCACGACAAAACAATCCTCTTCCCCCTTCCTCTTGATGTAGAGTCCTAACAGTCCCTCGATCAAGAATAATAATCCAGTCCAAAATCCGGCTCCTAAAAGTTATATATGCAAACGAGAATAAAACTATAATTTAGTTTTTAAAAAAAAATTAATTAAGCTATGCATTAGTGCAAATACAAAAACCACCTTACAAGTTAGTTTTTTAAAACTGAATCAGCTGTGATAACGCCGCGTTAAATAGCGCAACGCTTGAGGATAACGCGTTTTAAACGACAGCGTACCTCAAAATTTATAGGGTGACGACGTATACACGTTCTAAAAATGCACTTACGATTATTTTAAGTTTAAAAATTTGCCCATCGGAAAATAATTATTAATAACAAAAACATTTCTTTCTTGAGTGTTTTCTTTATAAAATAAGCTCTCGTTATTCTGACTAGGAGCCATTCAAGTCGGATATCCCAAAATAAATTTTACTAAAAATTAGAGCGGGATTTCTAATACCTAAATCAACCTATTATTAATTAAAATAAAATGGCGATTATAATCTTTCTGGGTTCGGTACCAAGGCCAGAGGAGAGGGGAGTGACAAAACAAGGAAAAAATTTTTTTAAATTCTTTTCATGGCTCTAACCCTTTCCCATATGTAAAAATTTATTGTGCCGAAAGAAGTGAAGATATTAAATTTTTTTTTAAAAAATTCTTGCAACAGAATCCCTCTATTCCCAGGAAGAATTTAGCAAAACTTTTATAGGGAACCATCCTCCAATTCCTCAATGTTGTGATGATCAGGGATTATGCTAATTTGTTGTTATGCTTTAAATATGATTTTTTTTTTTTTATTATGTTAATTTTTATTAGTTTTAAAGATGGGGATGATTTTAAATTTTTTATGTTGTTTTAATGGATAATCGGAGTTGTTAAAGGATCTAGATACGAGTATCTAGATCCTGTATCTAGATATAAAAATGTGGTATCTGTATCTGTATCTAGATAGATTTTTGATTAAAATATCTGTATCTAGATAATATTTTAGATGATGTACCTGTATCTAGATCCATTTAAAAAGTATCTTTTAACAACTCTGTTGATAATTATTGGAGACTATTTTTAATTTTCTTTATATATCTCGTACAATGTGTAAGACTATGCAAATGTTGATGAAGGATTATACTATGTAACAGAGACCTGCAGGCCCGGCCCTAACCCAGGCCCGGGTTTAGGATCGGGCCGTATTTTAATTTTATAAAATATACCCGAATATAAAATCCGGGCCGGGCCGTTTTTGAAAAAAATATCCGGGCCGGACTATACAAAACGGTATCTCTGCAGATCTTTGTTTTTTAATATTATACTTGTTAGATAAAAGAAAATATTTATCATTTTTCGTGTGTTGCAAATTAAATTAAATCTAATTTTAGGTAAATCTTGTGTAATAATCACCTCAGTCTCCAATACTACAACCTTGAAAACTCAATACCCGAGGTGTACTATACCCGTAGTAACACTTTTATAGGCCGGTACTGACTGGCCCTATATTTCTAATACCCACTTTTGTCACCCTTATTTTATTTTATTTTATTTTACCCATCTGATTACAAACATATATAAAAGGGAACAAAATCAAAGTTTTTTTTTAAAAATCATCGCTGTATAGGGCCATTGAATATCAGTATTGACTGAAAAATATTCTTTTAATTTTACCTAGTGGAGGGAAAGAGCGGATATAACATTTATTAGTATACCATTAATTTTACGCAAAAAAAATAAAAATTAATACCAAAAATAAATTAAAAATATTTTTTGAAGCGGTTAACGCTAACTAATAATTACATTTACAGTATTAAATTATTAAAACACGAAAACTTCCTCTTATACTTTTTTTTACTAAGAGGAAATATTAAAATTTTAAGGAAATTATTTTCATCTTATGTTTTTTATTTTGTTTTTTTTTCTTCATTAAAAAAACAAAAAATCGATGTTTTTATTAAGCTAATCTCGAAAAATATGATTTGAAAAATTAATATAATTTTATATATATTGCTTTATGAGTTGAGTAAATAAAATTTTTCGCATTTTATAGTAAATTGATTATAATTCTAATGTCAATATTTTATGAAAGTTATATATATATATGTGTATATATTGTATTATTATAGAATAAGAACCAATTAGAGCTGTAAAGTATAAGGTCATTCATTTTAAGAAAATGATAAAAATTAGATATGATATGATAAGATATATAATTTAATATGTAATATCAATATTCTATGAAAGTGTTTATATATAATATATCAAAAATATCAATATTTTTGAAGAATGAGAACCAATTAGAGCTATAAAGTATAAATGTCAATTGTCATATAATTATATATATCTCCATCATTTATTATAGTATGAAAGAATCAAAATGTATACTTAAGAAATAGTAAAAATTACAGGGTTCGAGGAATTTAAACTTCTAAAAAAAACGATTTCCTAAAAGATGTCCGAACTAGCCCCAGGACTACATTACCCCGGGTTTAATGGGTTATTCCCATAAATCGGTCTCTGTTTTGTCCGAATAAAAAAAATGAAATACGTAATAATTTAATTTATTCTATTTGTATAGGGTCTAATCAGCAACCGGAATATTTTTGTTTTTCCCTTTTTTTCTAATTTGCCATAGGTTAAATTTTTTTGATGCGTTCATTGTAAACATCAATGAAAACCAGCTGGGAACGCCATTTTATAATGGTAGTTTTTACCATGAGAATAATTACTATGCGGGTTTACCAAAAATGGCGGGTCCAGCTGATTTGCATTCAACGACGCCTTCAAACGCGTTAATATGAACGCGTCGTCAGTCTAGTCATTATTGTATTTCATTGGTTGGTTATTACACACTGATATAAAATAATGGAAGAGAACGTAACGCGTGACGCAAGATATTGAAAAATGTAATACGCAATGTATAATAGTGCGCACAAATTGAACGTTTCCAATGAAGCGTTAAAAAAAACGCAAATTCAAAACGCATCCGGTATATATTGGACAACATTTCCATTTTGCATTTTATAATTATTTATTTTTAAAAAAAGCAAAATATCTTGCGTTTTTTTTTGAAACGTTTTTAAATTTTGAAGTTGATGATACCCTGGTTAGGATACAACATCTTCTAAAAAAGTAAAATAAATATATTAAATGATAACAATAATATTTTTAGCTTATAAAATTATGATAATTACAAAAAGATTTGCTAATTTAAATATAGGGGCAAGTATTGTCTTTTTTTTTTGTTCAGAATTTTGGCGTTTCATATTGAAAAAAAATAAATAAATAAAAGTTAACGCTATCAATTTAAACATAGCTGCTTTTGCATTTTTTTAATTCGCGTTTTTGAAAAGCTGCGTTTGAAATGTTCAATTTGTGCGCCTGCGCACTAGAACAACTTTTTAACTATAAAACCTAGATTTTAGACACTTTTGCCATAGCCTCGGGAGTTTGTTTCTTAAAATTTTTTACTTACTTTTCTTATAATTTCTTGTTTGTTACTTATTTATTGCGTTACATTATTGGAGAAAAGAAAATGGAGGGGGGGGAATTTCCGCCTTCTCACCCACCCCCCCCCTTCCCACTCCCCGCGACTACATTTCGTAAATTCGCGTCTCAATGCTTCGCGAATTTTCTTCGAGCCCGCGCCCGTTAGATTTATCCGATTATTCTAGAAGCCAATGATACCCAACTAACACCCTCTAACCGATGACGTGGAACTAAATTAAGTTGTAGAAAAAAAATAATTTCTGCTGCACTATTTTAACTTAATTTTTCAAGCTCTCGGCCCAAAACCGGGTAGAAAACCGGCCCGAAAACCGGCTCAAAATTTTTTAAATATAAAAATTATAACTGTTAAAATATTATAATTATTAACATATAAAAGATATGTGTCATAATGGCCTGTAGTTTATATAATTCAACTCAACATAAATGTGATAAATTTAGATATATTTTTAAAAAAAACTTCCAAGGCCCGATTCGACTCGGCCCCAATTTTTGAATTTTTTTTAAAATATTAGGTCCGCACTCCGGCCCTACCCGAAGCCTCGTTCGGATAGTGCCAGGTTCGGGCCGGTCTACTTTAGCGGATATGTAATGTAGATTAAATACTAAATTGAAACAATGTTATGACCCCTTATGGTTAAGCTTTTGTTTTCTTACTAGAAAGAAAGGGAAAAAAGATGCCAGCCATTTTTTTTTAAATTATGGGAGTATAATATTTTTAAAACCTAATTCCAAATCTAATCACAATTCGCAACGACAACGAAAACAGGATTCAATTTTACTCGGTAATTGGTAATCAAAGTTATATGTTATGATATTACAGAAAAAAAACATATTATAATTTAGTAATCGTAAAATGAAGTAATATTGTGTAATTACTATTTTCGATTATTATTTTTTTTTCCAACCCTTTCCCCGCGTTTAGAAAATAAGGCATCACATCCGGAGGATGGGGAGGCTAATGTAAGAATATTAGAAGCTCAGCTCAGATCCTCAGATCCAATTTCAAGAAACTGTTATGCTCTAATTTACTATTATCTTTAATTTTTTTTTAAAAAAAGTGTTTATATAAATCGATAAAAAAAATTAGAAAAGCTATCGAATAGTACTTGAAAAATAACGGATTAAAATCAAAAAAACTTATTAAAATCAAAAAAACTTATTAAAATACAAAAAAAACGGATTAAAATCAAAAAAACTTATTAAAATCAAAAAAAACGGATTAAAATCCAAAAAAACGGATTAAAATCAAAAAAAGGGATTAATAAATTATTAACGAAAAAGTTCAAAACCGGAAATAAAAATTAAAATAGTTGGTTTTTATCAATGGAATATTTTAGGAATATATTTTTAAAAAAATAATAATAAAAAATATATGTGATAAACTTTTCCTAGAGGAAGGATTATGTTATCTTATACATTTGCATAAACTGTATATCAAATTGTATTTTTATATTGTAAGAATCTTAGTAATAATAGTTTCCCTTAAAGAGAAGGCCAAAACGTCCTTTTCTTAAAATTTTTTTTATTTTAAATTCCGGACGGGTCTAAT